CCAGAGGATATGACAGATAATGATGTTTTAGATTTAAGCAGTTTTGGGGCCACAGCAATCTCATAGAGAATTCCTTCTTCAATTCGAAACCACTGACCCAAAAACGAAAAACTCTTATTTCCAGACACAAAAATCCAACAACAACAACAAAATATATTTTTCCTTCAACTTCTCTCCTTTGCACACTACCACAACCAAATCATGCCCCAAAGCAATTACAGACAAAGTGCAAATCAAGAGACGGAGAGAGTGGCTTGCACTGTTCTGTTCCCCCAATATCCAATATCCACAATCCACTATCCATTTCCTGTTCTTTGGCATGAATATTACGCATACGCCACGCAGTCAATACAAATGCAAATATTATATCATGATTGCGCATGAAAATGCCAAGTAAACAATAATAAACACTAGAGAGCCAGACCCAAAGAAAGAAAGAAAGACCCCAAGAAAGATTTTTTGGAGTGGAATGGGCAGGCGAAAAGCCAATAAACAATAAGCCAAATGCGGCCAACGAAATAAACCTGAAGAAAATCGACAAGAGAAGATCCCGTGGTTCCGAGTTTGGCCCGAAAGAAATTTGCTCGGTCAGCGGCTAGTCGTCATCGCTGGTCGCTCATTAGCTAAAATCCAAAAGGGCCAGGCAGGCCATTGTGGCCGCCAGCCTCGTTAGTGATGAAGGGGACAGGAGTGGGGGGAGAGCAGAGGGGACTTCAAGCATGGTTTTTATAGTCGATTTAACCTCTTACATAATGATGGGAAAATCTTTTTGTTGTTTTCAAGTCTGATAAGAAATGCGGCTCACATTGAAGCCCCGCTTTGAACCGCAACGAAATAAAGCCGGAAAAAAATGTAGAAAACAAAAAGAAAGACATATTGAGGAATATAGTGTAGGGAGAGAGAGAGAGAGAGTGCTATAGATCGCATTGCTAATGGAGGAAGGCCATTGAACAATTTTCTGGGCATCATTTAATGGCCCATAAAATGGTCTTGAACAAAATTAATGAATTACTAATGAAGTAAACGAATGTAAAAAAAAACAAAAATCAACACTTAAATGAAATTCAAATGAAGAAAAACAACACCAGCAACAAAGAAATAAATCGAATGAAATTTAAAACAAATAAAAAACAAATGAAATTTAAATGTTAGGAAAATAACAAATGAAATTTCAATTGAAGTTCAATCCACGGGCACAGTGGTGCGACATGGGAGAAAAGTGGTACAAATTTGCAGTCAATGTGACCTTAAAAATCAAGGAGAATTTTTAAAAACATAAATTAAAATAAAATGACATGCATTTTAATTTGAAAATTTAACTTAAAGAATATTTTATGCAGATTAATACAGCTGAAATGTTTTTCTCTTTTCCATCTTAAATCTCTGTCGAAAGTCTTTGAACCACAGTCTTGCCTGTCTCTGCTTGCCTTTTTGAACATTCTGTGCTTTGTAGTCCATCGAATCTTGGCTTTTCCAATGATTTTCCTTACTTGACGTGGGGTGGGGCGAGGGTTTCACTCTCAAGTGTTTTTCCAACGTGGCAACTGCATAATTCAGAACACTTACGAGTACTTGAAGAGCCTTAAAAAGATAAACAGAGATGACTCTGTGGATTCTCAGAGACCACACACGCACGCACGCTGAGACTACTCTCAGGAAGGGGTACGAGGTACGAGTCAGCGGCTGACTAACATTTTGCATATTATGGATCAACCTTTCCGGTGACCTTTCGCTGCAAACTCAAGCATCATGGCGCATCGATTTTCGATTAAATCTAATTGACATGACAGGGCACACACGTCCACACTCCCTTCATTCCGGCTCTGTCTGTCAGTCTGTCAGTTTGTGAATTTCCTCTCGTTTGTACCGCTGACCATTTTCAATTTCCATTTGACATGCTTTTGGAATTTTCACTGAATTTCCCTACCCGGGAGCCTACGCTCCGGCCACGCCTTTGTTTTCCTTGGCCAAAATGTGTAAATTGTTGTAAATAATTTATGCCGCCATCGTTCGAGTAGGTTGGAGGTTTTTCCTTTTTTTTCGAAAATTGTTTTTGGGGCTTATAGTAAGCCCATTGGAGCCCCAAAACGGATGCCTTCTCATTAATTTTCACAGCTAATCTCAATCAGTCAAAAGCTCCTCCTCTTCGCCCTATCCATTCCATCCATCTATCCCATCCATAACTCAACAGAGTTGAACTTTTATCGAGATTTGAGTACAAGGCTCTTTTGGGTCAATGGTATTTCTGTTGGGTTCGGTTTTTGTTCCTCCTTTTTTTTATTATTTTGCGAGAAATTCCTTTTTTGGTTAATTGAATTTAGTTGGAAATAAACAAGGAGAAGGTTTCATTATCTTTGAATTGGCTAAGCTTGTTAAGAGGGTAGGATTTATTTTATTTTTTAATTTAAAATTATCGTTTGTAAAATAAAATCATAAGATTGTTGTTTGGCTTCGATTTTTATTTTATTTAGGGAATATGCAATACTTGGGAATATAATTTAATGTTCCAAAAAGAGGGAATCTATGGGCTTCCACGTTGTAACAGAAATTATGCGTATACAAAAATTATATGAATTTATCAAGTCCCAAAAACTTTGTCTTTTATTTAATGATTCCATCATTCATCATAAAATCAAAATATAAATACGAAACTTTTCCATTTCCAAACACACACGCACACATGTTCTTTGTATGGATCTCTCTCTCTCTCGTCTTATCTCCCTTTTCCTCAATCCAGTTCCGCTTTGACCAATATCGGTGGTAGCAGGGGAATGGAATAGTATGCTTGTGTTCAGCGGGGGGCGGGCAGGGCATCCAGCAATTTGTTGTTGTCATTGATGATATTTGTGGTCTACTTTTGTTGCTCTCCTTCTACATTTACTCCCACTTTTACTTCGACTGTTACTCCTCCTCCTTCACTTTTTTTCGTTAATAAAAATGCACTTAGGGAGAAGCATATGGGCGGAGAAGTCGGCGAGATGGAGGGGGAGGAGTATTTAGGTAGTGCTTGCGTTTCTTATCAGTTATCCCCAAACAAAAAACTAAAGTTTGAACGATTTAATCTGGTCTGTTATTTGGTTTTCTTTTCATTTTCATTCTTCGTTTCTGCTTTTTTTTATTTGAAGCGCAAATATTGATTTCCTTCTCTCCTCCCCCCGTGTCCAACGAGTTTCGGAGTGTGATAAAAGTAATAATACAAACGACAAACTTTGATAAGCTTCGGAGAGTGTAGGGAGGAACAGTTGGAGTGTGTGCCCCATATGTTGGTAATAGTTTCGGTCGAGGGATGCCAAGTGCACTTTACGATATGATAAGAAACGAATGCCACAGCAGAGAGTTGACCTAAATCGGAATTGGTTTTGGTCCTCCAGCTGACGTTATGGACAGCAGCACATACCGTGGAGGTTCTCTCAAAACGCCTGCCTTTTATTTAGACCAAAGATGTTTCAACCACTTAATAGGGAAAAGCCCAACAGCTGTAATATTAATTTTATCACAGTAAAACTCCATATACACATGTACTTAATGGACAAACTATTCGATTTGTGGCCTCAATGCTGGCTCGTTATCATTAAGTCGTTCACAGAAAGTCACTTGATGAATATTAATTATTTCTTTTTATGAATGTCTCTCTGCCAAAGGGAGAAAACAAATTAATTAAATTATAGCAATTCCTAAACATTTATGCTGTAATTCATGTGGATGCTGGGTGGCTGAGGAGGTGGGCGTGGGCGTTGGGCGTGGCAGCATGTGAACCAAATGCGGCCCATAACAAAAGGCCATTCCACAGAATGCTCATTGGCCCAAATACACTCCACGCGACTCACACGAGAGAGTCGAGTCGAGTCGGATAAACAAAGGGCAAAAATGATTAATAAAGCGGTGCCAGAATGAATGAAGAGCAAGGGAAAGGCAAGGTACTCCTCTCATCTGGTGCACGGAATACAGATGAAGTGACATAATTGAAATGGAGCACTGGCGCTGCCCCAGTGGGTGGTGTGCAGGGTGCAGGAACAGCCCTGGAAAACTTTTCATGTGAACTTTTTTTGTGTAAGGACGATGGGGGGCCAAAAGTATTCAACGGCCATAAAGCAAAAAAGAATTTCTTCAAAAAATTCTTTTTTATTCCGTTCTGTTCACGTAAGTGCGAAGAAATGGTTTCTTTCAAAGTTTTCGCAAACAATTTTATGTTTAATCAAGAGGATAAAGAACTTGAAGGTAAAGTTTTATAATGAAAGAATTCATAAAATTCAAAAGAATTTTGCAAGAAATATGCACTCAAAACTTTCATGGATTGATCAATATAATAATATTAATACTATAATACCATAATAATTTATTCGCATAGAACCCCCTTCGCATATTCATCCGCCATCTGTCTCTAAAAACCCAAATTTACTAAGATATTCCTGTATTTTGATGTACGCGAGCATATTTTGTTTCCTCCAGCACATAATAATAAATAATAGCCCATTTTCCTTCTTCCTTGAAATAATATTGTAATAACCTACTTTCCTCTTTCCTACAAAAATCAATTTCCGAGCTTTTCCACTACATTTTCCATCAAAAGAAAAAAATCTAGGAATTCCCTTTCATGTTGTGTGGGGTCCCCCTTCATATCCCGATGTCCTTCTGCGATAAGAGGTAAGAGACCCTCGGGACGGGATAATCAGGGCTTAGCCAGAATATGCGGAAGTCGAAAATGGCCCTCATTCAAATCGGAATTTATAAGGGAAATACGACAAAAAACTTCAGCCCAATGGGAGGGGGTGGCGGTGGCCCATAAAACCAAATGAAAAACGAGTCGTGATTTACGCAACCCACAAAATATTCAACTTTTTTTGCGTGATTACGTAAAATGCGTAAAAGACATAGAAAGAGAGAGATAGATATAGTAAGAGAACCACTTGACGCATTTCAAGGACACGTGCAGCCCCCGCAAGGACGCACAATCGCGCAAAAATTATACAACACTGGAAACTAGATAGCAGCAAACTTACCGTAAAATGCAAGTTGGCAGCTCCCTTTTTTTGTTTAGGCAGCTTCCTATTTGTGGCCTGTTTTTGTTTTCCTTCTCGGTTCGTAAGGTAGGCGCTGACTTTAGTTACGCCTTCGTTTTCCAAATGTGGTTTGTGTAGAATCAAGCACAGCTCAGTACACAATTATATTTCGAAGGTGATAGATCTAAAGCAAATTTTCCGTTCCAAACGAAACAATCGTCGAAAGTCTAGTTGTTGTTTCAAAAGTTATATTTTTCCGTTGAAAATATATTTTCGAGCTTCGGAGTGTAATTTTCTGGATCTCAAAGCCGTCAGGCAACCGAAAGAACTTAACGCGGCGAATTTTCACTAGTGAATGACAACGCGTCGCGCAGCAGAAACACAGACAGCTCCAACTTGGAGAGCGAGCGCCAACAGTGGGCGGCCGAGCAACAAGCAGCGTGAGAGTGAGAGAGCAGTCAAGCAGGTAAGTGTGTTGTTGCTTATCGCTGCCTTTGCTCTCCGTAATTCATTCATGCAGCGACGTCAGCAACGTCACTGAGTGCAGCGCTGCTCAGAGCCAAAAACAGTTATAAATTGTCTGAAACGGAGCATTTTTAGCAATTTTTCATTCACACATTCGCCCCTCTGCAGCCAGCGCTGTCTGCTGCAGCAGCTCGCTCTCTGCCATGTCATGCTCTCCCAATCTTTTATATGTTCTCTCGCTCGTCGTTCGTGCTAGCATAAAATGCAAAGCCAACTAGTTGTTGTTTCTGTTGGGGGGGCTTATGTAACTTTTGGGGCATCCAAGAACAGCAATGTCTCAGGCAACGTTGAAGGGCAGTCAGCGACCTCGTTCTAGAAAAGAACACCCCCTCAGGCCCCTCTTCCACCAGAAGGGGCAGCAGCAGCGAAAAGCGCGTAATATAAACATGCTGTGAGAGAGGCAGAGAGCCAGCGAAAGAGCAAAAAGAAATGTAGGGTTTTTTTTGCCATGCAGGCCACGGAAACCCGAAATGGTTTTGTTGGGAAAGGGGCGCTGGTAGGGGATTAAAGCTTGTGCGGGAGTTGAGGCGCTGGATGGGGGGTATGGTGTGTGTGTGTGGTAGGGTAACATCAAAGTCATGCCAAATTGCGCAACAGCCACAGAGTTGGTTCTTGGTAGCCCGCTGACCAGGAATGGAAAAGTTATGACTGTTTGATGAAACGGGAAATTATTATCAAGTTTTCCTTGTGCCCCACACTCTTTGGATATCCCTTGCCATATCCGCATCCGCATTCTGGTTGTTTTTCCATTCGCAGTCTCGCAAAATGACCCCAATCCTGAACAACCTCTCGTGTACCTTTTTATGGACTTCCGCAGCAATAGATCTAGCAAAACAATACACCCGTAACGTAACCTCTCTTTCCACCACACTCCATCGATGGCAGCGCACTTACACTGCTGCCAGTTCAAGCGTAATTTAATTTTGTGCACCATTTATTTATACGGGTCAGGAAGGTAAAGGGAAGGGAAGGGCAGAGGAGCCAGTCCAGCCAGGAGCCAGGAGCCAGGATAGCGCTGTGTCTGTGTATAATTTATGGTTCCATCGCAAATTAGGTTAGGTCATGGGTTGGGAGAGCGGCACACCTGTGCGAACGGAATGTCCCCTGGATAGCGTCAGCAGCAGCAGCACTTACCGTTATGCTTTTCTACTCCCTACATCACATCCGCACTCTCATTCGCCCAGAGTCCTAAGTACTTCCTAAACGGGGCCGTATCATGCGTTTGCCTAAGCGGGCGAAATATTACCTTAGCAGCATCGTTTGGCCAGTGCTTTACTCATGCCCGAATTACTCAACTCTCTTTTGTTTTAATACCCTTGCAGAGTGCAGTGTTATTATGTCCAGATGTTTGCAAGAAGAAAAAATTTTATCCAAATTATATCCAAATCGGTTGAAAGTCATTCAGAAAGAGTATCAAACGCTTCGGAGTCACGAACTTACGAACTTACCCAGCCATTCTTGGCGGGGCATGTGTTCCATCCACCGCAAATGTACATTGTATAGAGAGGGAGAGCAGGAAGATGAAAAACATGCGTAAAATGCGTTTTAATTGAAAGGAAATGTTCAAAGCACATGTGCAGCTGCTACGATAGGATCGGGTGGTGTTGGAAGGGGAGGGATGCTTCACTGCTAATTGAATTACCTTTCGTTTACTTTTCCCGTTAGCAGTGCCGCCTAGCACACCGAGCTGTGTGCATGTGTGGTGTGGTGGCTCTTTGCTTTGCTTTTCATTTAATACCAATTTCTATTCATTTTTTGTTGTCTTCTTTCTCTGCTCCTCCTGACCCAATTTCGTTTTGCTTTGTGCATTTGCAGCTGTCTCCGTCTATCGCCTGTGCAGCTGAGAGAGCGCAGTAGCAGTGACGCTGCCAAAGTGTTTTAGTTTAAGGTGAACAGTTCCACGCTCTTCAAGCCACATTGACTCGCACTCGGGCTGATTATTGTGAGAGCGGACTCTGGCAATACCTCACCTTATGCTAAAACAGTTTTTTAGCTGAGGGTGTCGCTGCTTTGCCTTTTTTTATATCTCTTGTCATAAACTGGCATTTTCAATCAAATAAATCAACAAAATATGGGAACAGGAATTATTTTAACTAGATTTTGGCTTAGATAAAACGTTTTTTTTTGTGGTGGGTTAGACTTTCAAATGGTTGTGTCACGACAATAGACTGCAGTTGGACACGTAAATACATACATACATATTGCTGATGTGCCCACGCACGCCCCCAGCTCCAGTCACGCATCCAAACAGACCCTTTCACTTATTAACGGAAGTGTCCTTGAGTGGGGGACAGGCTTGTGCGCTGAAGGCTATGATGGCATGGGCTTAGAGAACATTCCATTCCCACCCATACCACTCTAAACCGTTTTCACTTTCTCTTTCTTGCAGTGATCCAAGATGGGGGGCGGTGATGCAGACAACGGCAAGAAGATTTTTGTGCAGAAGTGCGCCCAGTGTCACACCGTCGAATCGGGTGGCAAGCACAAGGTTGGCCCCAATCTGGCCGGCATTGTCGGGCGCAAATCTGGCACTGCTGCGGGATTCAAGTACACGGATGCTAATCAAAAGAAGGGCGTTACTTGGACCGATTCAACGCTGGACGAGTATCTCAAGGATCCAAAGAAATACATACCCGGCACTAAGATGGTTTTCGCAGGACTCAAAAAGGCCGAAGAACGTGCCGATTTGATTGCCTACCTCAAGAAAAATAAGTAAACCATTCCGAAACAACAACTACACATACACTAGCACACTACGTTAATAGCAAGAATATAAATATATATACACACACACACATGTCAAAGTAGATTATTTGACCGACACAATACAATAAATAGATAACATAATTCGTTCCGCAAGAACTTAAGACGCCTTACATGAAAATAACATGAAAATAACTGCCCGAATACACAGAAACACACAAATATCATACGCTGATTAACTGACATAATAATACACTACACTATATATTTTGATATAAACAGAGGAAATGGTTTCCGCAAGAAGTTAAGCCGCCTTACATATTATAATTGCAATAATGCATTGAATGAAAATGACTGCCCAAATATCCCAGCCCTTCCGAATCGAACACACACATTTTTTACGCTGACTAACTGATTCTATACCACACTATACCACACTTATATAATGTTATATGCATAGGAAATGGTTTCCCTAAGAACCTACCTCATGGCGCAAGAAATAATGCGCCATGAATGAAAATGACTGCCCAAATATCCCAGGCATTCCGAATAGAACAAGCATTAATTTTACACGCTGATTAACTGATTCTATTCACACTACCCTAATATGATATATACAGAGAAAAGGGTACCCGCCAGCCTCAAATCTGTTCCAACGTTTTACATAATACACTATATATACAGAAAATGATTGTTAAAAGTTTAATTTAATGGAAAAGAAAAATATAAAAAAAAAATGTAACACCAGTTGTTTTATTTCAAAGGCGCGCCTAACAGGCTTGCCTGATATTTTAATTTCTGTAGCCGTGAGCTTTTTTGTGCACCAGTATCGAGTTGCGAACAAATTTCAATGGTAGATGACTTTTATTGGATATGAATCACCACCAATAATAGCTTCAGCATACAGAGCGCAACCCTAGGTAACGGTGTAATCTATTTTAGTAGTAAATGGCTATCACTATATTCATATTAGTACGTTTTGAAATTTTAAATCCGATTTGAAATATGCTTAGGCGCGAACTATTTTTTAGTGCAAGAGCTTTTCAGGGCTGCGTTTGAAATCTATCGGTTAGCCATCGCATAGAAACGTACGGATTGGGTGGATGGTTGTCAGTGTGAATCAGCTATAAACGGATTAAAATGGCCAATTATATTATCTAAAGATGATTTATGGAGCAATCAAAACAATTTTCACAGCCTCCAGGCGTCCATAGTGCGTCATTCAATCAGCTTATCGATTGTCGGCCAAGCAAGCGATGCGCACTATCGATATAGACGCCGTCGATACTTTGAATGCGCGAATATTCACGGAAATTCATTCGTAAAATAACTGTCCGCAGCAACGGTTTGTGTTCAATGTAAGTAGTGGGTGTTATTAATTAAAAATTAAAGTGACGTAAATATTAGCCAGCGCTATACATTCACAAGGTCTCCAGGCAGATAATAGAGGAAGGCGTTGTAACTTCCGCGTGGCTCTTGCATAATTTACAGCTGTACAAACGAATTGATTCGAGTTGCAAGCGAATAATTCTACTTTTTTTTTTGGGGGTTGATTCGGCGGGGGTTACATAAACTCGTCCTTGTGTGTGTATTTAAGAGTGGGATTTCTGTACAAGTGTGAGAGGTTGTTAAGTAAATATGAGTTCGAATTTTCCAAGTGCAAAAGTTAGCAATGAATTGTGAAATTTAAAAATAACCTGGAAGTCACATTTTGCCATTGAAAAAGAGAGCGTCGTGCGAGATGATTACATGAGCAGTAGAGCGAGAGAGAGAGAATGAGAACATTGCCCGATCATCACTCTCTTTCGCTTTGGCAAAAAAGAATATCAGTTCTTGGAATTTTTACTCGTGCTTCCCAGCTCCAATAAGCCCGCCACGTGGTGGCTAAACGAGTTATCTGCTTTCCGCAAAATGCCACTTAATGTTTGTAGCAAAAGAAGATTTCACCTTTGCAGGAGTTGGTTGTCTTATGTAACATTCTGTGTGGAGAGGAAATTGCCTGTCCTAGTTTTCATTCATCTCTCTTGCTCTCATTCTCTCTCGGCTGCCGTTGGCCTAGGGAAAGTGGTTTTTCACACACACGCAGCTCTAAATGAAAAGTTCTCTCTTCAAGGCCACCACCAAATCAGATGTTGACATTGTTGTTGCCTTTCATGTAATCTGTCACCCCCACTGCTTGCGCGTGTAGGTAACTTACTCATTAATGCACCCAAGGTATGTGAATATAGGGTGTGGAATTTCCAAAGTGCACTCTGTAGAGAGATTAAAATCGGGTGACCACATTACAAATGATCTACCAAGCTGGTCTCGCCCTCTTGTTTTCGCAAAGAGAGAGAGAGAGAGACTGAATGCCTCCCCCTATATGAAATCACCTTGTTTCTGTCCAACGGCACTTTGTACTCATGCTCCCCCTCTCTGGCAACACATTTTTTTGTCGCGCTCAAGTTCAAATAGTTGCATGCAACGCAATTAGCCGCCTGGGGAATGTTGACCATAACATAGACCCTGCTGATCCATCGCTTTTTGTGCGACAGTTATATAAACAATTCAAAGTTTTCCATTCGACGAAGTTAGCCTGTTGCTGAGCAAAAAAATTAATTCTGACGCAATGAGTAATTCTCGCACCGTCGAAAGTCAGACGAGGCGAAACTGCGAAAGCGTGTGAGAGCCAGAACAAGCGATAGAGGGCAACAACATGTGACCAGACGTCTGTCTGAAACTTTTTTGAGATGTTATGCATGTGTGGGATGTCTGCGTGTGAGTGTTTGATGACGTTGAATGGAGCTCTCATGGAATTTTCAGATGCGGAAGGGTGCGCGTAGATAAGCAAAAAAAACCACTTAGATAATGGCATTGTATTCCAATTAGAATTTACCTTATCGGAGAGACTATACACCCGCCTAATGCATTTTGAACAGGTTCTAGTTTCCGCTCACTGCTTATCACCTGTTTACATAACGGGGCAATGGGACAAAAACTTTTTTCGCGGTCCCCACTAATCATTGATTTTCTTTCTCTTCTGCGTTATAGTCGAGTCCGTGTTAACACATAAAGCACACACACATAATCCATAATGGGCGTTCCAGCTGGTGATGTTGAGAAGGGCAAGAAGCTGTTTGTGCAGCGTTGCGCACAGTGCCACACCGTGGAGGCTGGTGGCAAGCACAAGGTTGGTCCCAATCTGCATGGTCTGATCGGTCGCAAGACTGGCCAGGCTGCCGGTTTCGCATACACGGACGCCAACAAGGCCAAGGGCATCACCTGGAATGAGGATACCCTCTTCGAGTACCTGGAGAACCCCAAGAAGTACATCCCCGGCACCAAGATGATCTTCGCCGGTCTGAAGAAGCCCAATGAGCGCGGTGACCTGATTGCCTACCTGAAGTCTGCCACCAAGTAAGGCGCCTCCCCAAAAGGAGCCTCTACTTTCAATCACCTCACCACCCACAACAACAGGATGTATTATTGTGTTCAGTCACAATCCAACAGCAACACCAACAATATGAACAGCAAACAAAGCAACAATTACATACAGACCTAAAAACTACAATTATGTTAATTATAAAGTTTAAATAGGACAATTTATTATTTAATTTAAATAAAAAGTGGAATACTTAATTTAATGCTGAGGAAACTTGTGACAGCCACGTAAAACAATAAAAAATTAAATAATAACAAAAAAAAACTGAAACCTATGAAAGTTCTATGGGAAGGGAGGAAATTAATTCATTTTGCAGTGATCTTTAAGTCCCAGTTACTGGCATGAGACTAAGAGTAGAGTGGGGTATTTTGGGAATCACTTAAAAGTTCGTTATCTTAGAGCTGTCCAGATTCTGCTATTCGACTTTTTAAGGGAGCTCCCAACTCTTAATCAGACACATTGGATCCATAAGACATAAAGAGAAATTTTAGATTTTCAAAACGATCTCTTTATCATGAGACCAAAGTTCCACAATCAAAGAGAATTTTTTGAATGGAAATCTAAATCTCTCTGATAGGGTTTCATTCAATCTGGTTGAATGGAAACAAAGAATACTACCAATTCCGAACTGCTAATCATTCAGTTGGGGTTTTCAAATTCTTGAAAGAGAAGCAAGAAATATTACTCAGATAACATTTCATTCAAGCTCCATTAATAAAGAGAAACCCCACCCACATCACGTGCTACGATAGTGGTAGTATGATCATTGCTAACAAACCGTAAAGAGAGGCCCGTAAGGTAGTTTAGTCCCAATGTCGCGTGCCCTAGCTAACAGCTGATATACAACACTTGAACTATGGAACACTCTCAAAGAGAAAACAAAGCATACACTATGAAATAGATAACAAAAGAGAGCACAAAAATTATTATAAAAACGGAATTCCTCTCTTAAAGATTAGCCCATATGTTGATTATACAATAAGAAAACTATGACTGCGTCGAATACCTTCTCCTTCTCTTAATGATTACTGATATCACACAATTATTTTAGAATAATAAACTTTCGATTTTCAATATATTTCGCTAGTTTATGTATATTTTTGTATTGTTTTACACTCGCAAAAATGTGTATCATACATTTTAATAACAATTGGTTAATGCATTTAACATTTCCATTTATGTCTATTTGATTTAATTTTTAATAAAAGAAATACTTGATAGGTTCTTTTTACAATATATTTTCGATTTCTTTAGTTTTTTTTTGTCTTTGTTTTTTATTTTGTTTTGTGGGTGCGCTGAGGCGATTATAATACAATAGAAGTGCATATCATCTGGTTTAGAAGAAAACTCTGTACAGCGGCGCACACATAAAAATTAAGAACACAAATAATAATAACAACAAAATAGGTAAACAATTAAATGGAACAATCGTAGAGGATCTGTATTTTCTTTGCCACTATTTGAATTGTCTTTTTGGAATGCCAACAAAAAAAATCAAATTGTTCTCTCAATACGTTCTATAGGGCTGGGCTTGGGGATGGGACTAACAAGAACTTAGTTTAAGCAGGGAACAAACATGCGCTTAAATGTAGCACGAACAAACATCATGTTTAAATGTGGAGAGAGGAGAAGTGGAGGATGCCCGGATGGGGTTCGCATGGGATGGTGTTCAGGTGTTGCTAGGCGGTAGCATCAGTCCCTCCACAACTCTTATTGTTGGTTAAGTTTTGGCAGGCTGGCGGCCTGGCTAAAAAATATGTATGCAAATTTTGTTGTGTCCTTGTGCATGTGGATGTTATGTTGGATTTGGGAGGCCTTAGGCCTTGCCAGCAATGGGTGCAGCACCTTGTTTCTGGTTCTCGTTTTCCTTCTCCAACTGCTTGCCCAGGTATTCCCTGATAGATATAGAGAGAAACATTGAATACATCGAATTTCGAATTGATCTTGAGATGGACATGGATATGAATTTGGGGGTATGGCATGCATATCACAACACCTAGAGGTGGATGTATGGGTAGGAATGAGAGGTGGCGAGTCGAGAAATCGTACTAACCAGTTGTGTACCATCAGCTTCTGCACGGCCAGCAGGGCCTCGTACCGCACATTGGGATCCTCGTGACCCAGATGCTGCATGACAATCTGTTTGCCGCCCAATTGCTCCAGGACACTGAAGGGAGAGATTCGATCAGTCCAAGTACACCAATAGATGATGTTTTTTTGTTTTTCTTACTGTTTGCCGCGGGGATAGTGACGCACATACTCTCCAATATCGAAGCAGGCAACGGATAGAATGATGGCATCCTTGGAGGTCTCTAGCAAATGTACCAGAATGCGCAGCAGTTCGTAGTTCTTTTCGTTGAGGCGCTGGGCATTCTCGCGCCAGAACTTCGCCGACTTGTGGACCGGCGACCATTCCAGACGGCCGCTGCGCACCTCAGTGGCATACTCATCGTAGGAGCTCAGATCCTGGACCGAGTTCTGCAGCTTCTCGCTGAGATACTCCACATCGGCGGTGATGTCCTCATCGTCAAAGCGACGCTGCTCCAGTATGGACAACTGTTTCAGCACCTTGCACTGAACCATGGCAATGCAATGGTCCTTGGCCACCGACGTGTCTTCGGGCTTCTCGATCAGATTGCGGAAGACAGCGAGAATAATTCGGGTGACCTTCTCCTTGGCACAATCGCTCAGTATATCGGCCAGTATGGGGATCACACTGAACTTGTTCATCTTGGCGGCCAGCAGGGGGTTGAAGGTCAACACCCACAGGCAGAAGATCAGCTGGTATTGCACCTATGAATAAGAAATCGAATTTAAATTGGCACAAACAATTTACACATTTCAATTTCAAACTCACCTGAAAGTTGACGCGAGTCGACAGAATGCGAATCAGAGTGCTGATACCATCCACACCCACAAAGGCGAATCGGTACTCATCGACGCGCAGCATCATCTGCAGGCAACGGGCCACCGACTGAATGTACTCGTTGTTCTATGTAGAGGATTTTGAAATTACAAACGGATTAGTCGTGTCTTTTGGGTGGGCTCTGCTACGCTGTCATGATTGTTAGCGGGGTTAGTTATGACGATACTCGGCATCAGCTGAAATCTACACATTTTTCACTACTAGCTACAACAACAACGAATTACTACAAGCTACGCACAATAAGAGAATCTGAGAATAACACAGAGAGTGAGAGTGGGGTGGGGGGGATTGGGTGGTGACGACACATATAGAGAATTGTATAGATTTTTGTATATCCTTACACCGTTTGATATTTTTTTCCTTTCTTTGGTTTTTGTTTTTTTTTTGGTAATTGTTGAATGCGGGGGAGGGGTCATGTCTAGAGTATTTTTTGGGGCTTATTTAGTGTACTTTTCACCAGCACCAGTTTTGGGTTTACCGTTGCGCACCATCTTTAAATGATTTTATACACTGCTTGACAACACTGCTTCCTCGGCCATACGGATGCGCCTTCTCCTGCTTTGCCTCCTCACGCTCTTATTAGTTGGTTAGTAAACAGTTACGACTCCAATAATCCCACACAAACACACGGAACGCAGTCGGTGGGTATAAATCGAAATTAATTGAAAACAGTTGTGTACAGCAGCCCAACACCCCATAAACCGTACAAGTTGTGGAAGGACGGACAGACATTAGGATGTTAATTTTGATGATAGAAAAATCATCTGCAAGATGTTCGCTCTCAAATTGATGTAGATAAATAAAGAAAAATAAACCGTCTGAATGTTGCAAGATTTATCACTTTTTCAAATCGAATTTGAACACTTTCTAAAATAAACAAGAGCTGGCGAAAGTGTATTTTTTATTATAGCACATATTGAAATTCTATTTAATTATTTTTTCTGTCAGAGCCACAATTTTTATTTTTATAATTCTTCATTTATCACCAAAGTCAAAGCTTTTTCTTATATTTTTCGAGTTTCTAAGCTTTTGTCCGCTTGCAAAATTTTCAATTTGGTAATTGATAAGAAAAAATCCCGTTATTCTTACAGACCTCCATCGACTCTGCTCCCGTGTATGTGTTTGTGTGCGATTATTTATCAGTGTTTGTGTGTGTTTTGCATTGTATTTGTTGTGTGTTGTGGGTGTGTAAGTAAATGTTTGTTTTTTCTGATGGTCGCAATTTTTGCATTTTTTTTTTTTGTTTTCTGTGATTTGGAATACCGGTATAACACATTTGCCTTCCTGCTGATGCGCCTGCTCGTTGCTGTTGGACACCTGCCGATAGCTCTCGTTGGACGAGACGACCAGCTCTTGCTGATGCTGCTGCTGGAGCTGCGCCAGATTGGGACTGTACTGGTGGCCATGGTTGTCTTTGTTATTGCCATGGAGTCCGTGTGTGTGCACGAGTATGGTCTGGGTCCGCTTGGCCAGCTGGGCCATCTCTTGCAGATAGGATGTGCTCTGGGTCGGGGGCAGTAGGGGGTCATATATTGTTGTGGGGGGATCGGATCGGATCAGATCAGATTATCCACAGAGAGACGGGGGACGTCGATATATCGAGGAGTTTAATCGATATTGTTGATGGTAAATTGCATATAAATTAAAATACATTGGTTCAGAGAGAAGTTCAAGAGTGCGGCAGAACAAATTGTAAAAATAGATGGACAAGACAACAAAATAATTAACAAAATGATCGACCTTCTGTGGTGCTGTGGTGTTGACACGTGACTCACGAAACGGGAACGACGACAGCACGGAATGATCGGGATGAAAGTGCCAGACAATTTCAGTATTATGGTATACACGAATCGAATGAAATTTGATGACAAAATTCAGGATGCGTAATGTTGAGCCTTCAAACAACGAGCTGTTAAAGTTGCAGTAATTTGCTCATTTTTAGAGTTTTCAAGGGGTGGGTGGTTCGATGATGAATGTGCATTGTGTGACAAAAAGTCTTCAAAAAAAAAAAAAACAAATTAAAAAGGACAACGTAGACTTGCTCATTTGTAGAGTTTTTCTCTAACGAGTGGATCGTAGAGTTTTGTTGGGGGTCGTTTTAGGGTTGGTCTTAATTTAGTTGACATATAAGTAAAGCAAGCCAAAAATTCAAAGCATTCACAAAAACATATTATTTCGAATTAAACAGAGTTAGGATTTCAGACTGTTTTTTGTTTTTTTAGTGGTTTAGGCATTGACAAAAAGTGTATTGATAAGTCGTTAGTCGGATTTCAGTTGGTCTGACTGCGAAATATATTTTTGTTATTCCTATCAGAAATTTTCAATTGGAGTCGGGGATTTGTAAAAACTGCCATGCTCTTCTCTCATGCTATAAAAATTAATTTTAATAGGATGGGATCATGCCGAGTAGCAGCACTATGAGGAAAAACAAACAAAAAAATAGTTTGCACTGATTTGGGCTCAAACCCAAATGAGGATTAAATCCGGGAATATATAGGTGCAAAAATAACTCTTATTTCGAGTGCAGACATTGCTTAAAAAACGCTATATACAACAGCTGGAATAGCCTCCACACATGCACTTGCCAGGCACTCTCCCTTTCTAACCATGCACTGGGCAATTCAAAATTAATCAAAAATACAGATGGACACTCACATTGCTGGCCAGTTGGTCCTTGAGGAACTGCAAGTAGAAGTTCAGGTCTGACTTGGGCATGGTCTCATGACCCCAGCAGGCGAACTTGGCCAGAATCCGGGACGCCATGTTGACAATGAAGCCATCCTGACGATTCAGTAGGTTCAGGAAGGGACCCCAGATGCACTGCTTTAGCTTGCCAGCCGTGTCGTGAAAGAGATCGACACGTGAGCGATCCTCTTGCAGCAAATCGTCCAGCAATACGAGAATATACTGAATGGTGGAGTCCTTGGACAGATGCGAGACTAGATTGAGCAGAGTCTTGACCACCTGACTGGAGTTCTGGGCCAAGTAGGCAGCGCGTGATTTATCCAGTGCGCTGATGGCACGGTAATCCTCCTCGCTGATCATCTGCGACTGCATATAGGGGGCCCAGTTGATGGCTTTGGTGCGAATGTCGGCTGCTTGTTGCTGCAGCACCGAGGTGGCAGCAATCATGTCTGGAAAAGCCCAATGAAAATCGCACAATTAGGGGCGAGGTGAGGGTGCTGCTGAGGCCACCCTCACACACAGTCGAACTTCGATTTTTCGCAGAGGTCGGATCGGGAAAACTTACCGATGTTTTCCTCGGGCAAATACAAAGCGGTAGTCATTGTGCTGGCTTGTCTAAACAGATGGATCCTATGCAAAATGGGGTGTCGCTCTGGAGCACAAATTCGAGCACAGAATTTATGAAAATTTATTAAATTTACCGAGTGATTTTCACACTACTACGACACAGAAAATTCAGCTGACTTGGGTCTTGTGACTTACATGCAGTGTGGCCACTCTTTTGCAATGCGCAGAGAGCTGCCACGCTGTTATTCGATAGTATTGTTTGACTTGGCGCACAACAGCACACTGTTGGGATCATAAAAATAAACGTACAGACAAATTAATTTATAACTTGAATTATAATTATATTCAGCTAACCGCAGAGTGTCACCTGTAAAATTTTCTTCCTTTAAATCAATCTAGAGATGTGACCTACATCGATATTGTAATCGATAGTGAACTATTCAACTATGCAGTTCACATTTCAATGCAAAAAAAAGCGTTGCAATTTCAGGAATCCCAATGCAACGCCGTTTCCCCTTTGTGAGCAAGGCGAACGCTATCACGGCGTCTTTACAGGGCTCTCTGTGGAGATAACAGATCCTGCCCAGACGAAGGCGCTCCATGACAATGGCTGCTATGGAAAAGGCAGCAAGTCGCGAGGTGGACCGGCATCGGGCGATGAAGACGAAACCCTGCTTCTTGGACTGGAGGAGTCTTGTTTTCTGGCCTACTACTTGGAAGTACTCGACATAAAGAACCTGTTGGGCACCAGTTTGGACTGGGAAGGATTCCTGAAAGCGGCTCAGGATCTAAACGATAGATTTGTTGAGAATTTGGCATGTTATCTGTATTTGAAATCCAAGAATTGGGTAATCAAGAGTGGAATCAAGTTTGGCGGAGACTTTCGTAAGTAATTGGAAAACAATGCACTTTTTATTCTAAAGTTGTGCCTGCCTGTCCTTTCCTGCAGTTATCTACGAGCAAAGTCCGAGGAATTTCCATGCCAGCTTCTTGGTCGTCGTTCAGACTCCCGCCGATCTGGATTACTACCAGCCAAAGAACCTGAAGGGTGTCCAACGTGTGGCGGAAACGTCCGACAAAGATGTACTCCTGCTTACAGTCGGTGAACCCAAAGAAGATGCCTCCAGCATGGCCACACCCGAAGCGCTTAAAGAAATTTCCGTCACGGAAACAATTGTACGTCGCTTCAATTATTCATCATTCGTGCAAAGTAAACAATAATCATAACCAAAACTACTTATGTAAGGACTAGAGTTTCTCCACGCGATGCTTCTTGGGTATCCCAGTGCTCCGATAATCTGACCGCTCCTGCAGATAGATCTTCCTGCATTCCTCCTTGAAGGCATCGTTCTGATACCAGAGCGTTAGGCAGTCCCTCAGAGCAGAGTTCTCCTTGCGACAGGTGGCCACCATGAAGATGCTGCTGGTCTTGCAGCACTCCTGAAAGTCTGTGACTTCCTTGGTGCATAGCTCTGCCTTTGCCCGGTCTCGCATTATCTTGGGTATCAGCACCTCGACCTCAACCTTGCGCAATTTTGTGTCATTCGGGTCGCCTAGCATTCGAGTTCCTCGTTAATGGATGGACAACTTAGATAACAGCAAGAACTTACCGAGTCCATGGGGATTACGTGGATCAGCCTGTTGTTGTATAAAGCTCATGTTTTTATTTTAAAATATTTTAGTTCTGTTTCTTTTTGTTTTGTCAATGATGTGCCAGCTTAGTGTGACCGTATGTAAAATAAAAATACCAAAAATACCAGATTGTTTTTAGAATTCGTACCAAAGAAGCCAGTAAAGTAACCCAGGCGCATTTTTTATTATAAATGTTGCATTTTAAATGCTGAAAACCTAACTAGATGCATTATAATCGGTCAGGCTCTGGGCACTGATGGGATCTAGGTTGCGAACGCCGTCCTTGTCCACGACAGAGACATTGAAGTTCTTCAGATTGACGACCAGGCGCTTTTGAATCTCCACGATGCACTTCTTGAAGATATCGTATGCCTCGTCCTGGGTAATATTGGCGTGCCAGTAGCGATCGTAGATGCTGGAGCAGAACATGGCACCGTAGCCATGACCGGCGTAGTTTAGAGACTTTGCATTGGCCAAATAGTCGATGAAAACCAGCTCGGGACCCTCAGTTTTATCATAGCTAGTGGAGCGAGATCATATTGGAGTTCTAAAATACGCTTTATCATTGATGAATATGGGAACTTACCCAGCGACAAACATGAAGACCTGGTAGGGTGTGCGACTGCGAAGATACTCAGCCAGATTCTTGCGCGTAAAATGGGCTGCCTCCCGCGGGCTCAGGTCGTAGCCATTGCGCATTTTGTACAGGGCAATATTCTTCGAAATAAACTCGGTAAACTGCTCGGTGTCGCCCGACTCGCCAATGGTTGAAATGAGCAAGTTGTCCGATACCTTGTGAATTTTGTTCTGATCTGCAAAGGTAAAAGTGTCGCCCACCAAATGAGACACAAGCCGCCATCAAATTCATCACTGCTGCTCACCTTCTTTCATTACGATAATGGAACGGGCATGAGTTGTGTCGGCCGCTAGCATAACAAAATCGGGACCCTTGATACCCAACAGCGTTTCCATCTTGCACTTGTTAATATATACTTTACGGGTTTCTTCTAAAAAGTTTTCAAGTTGTTTTGCCGGATGACAAGCATTTGTTAAGACCAGTGTGACCGCGGGTTTATCGGTAAAGTATACCGTCTGTCCCTCGGAAATATCTTATAGTATTTGAAATATACTGTAAATAGACCGGGAGAAATGTCGGTATTTTTTGTGCGCTAAATGGAGTTTGGCGGTCATTTGAAAATGGTATTTTGATGGCGTTGGTGGTGGTGTGGATGGTGTTCACTGTTGTGTTAATGGTGGATTCCATTATTAGCAAAGCTTCCATTATTTTTCCCTTTGGGAACATGCGGCTCACACCACGAAAAGAAGGGGAAAATCGTTGTTGTTGTTCAAAAATACCAGTATATACCATGATAAAATAAAATACTTTTTGCTCAATTTGGCTAACAGCGAGTTGGCAGCCCACCAATGTTATCACCATTCCATTCACAATTTCACAATTTTGATTTAGATTGTTTTTAATTTATTGCGATGCAGGCTCCTCCTCCCGAACACTGTCCTGGCGTTGAGAGCGAGCAGGCTGGACAGGTGAGTGCCTGTGCCGGCTGTCCCAATCAGAGCATATGCAGCGATCCGAACAAGAAGCTCGAGGATCCGGGCAAGGCTCTCGTCACCGCTGCTCTGAAAGATGTCAAACACAAGCTTCTGATCCTCTCCGGGAAAGGGGGTGTTGGCAAGAGCACCGTCACCACCCTGCTGACACGGTACCTGGCCAGGAGTTGTCCGGACAGCAATTTCGGTGTGCTGGACATTGACATCTGTGGGCCATCGCAGCCGCGTCTTATGGGCGCCCTGGGAGAGAATGTGCATCAGTCCGGTTCGGGCTGGTCGCCGGTGGGCATAGACGACAATGTGTGCCTGATGTCGATTGGATTTCTGCTGGGCTCTGTGGATGATGCCATTATTTGGCGTGGACCCAAAAAGAATGGCATGATTCGTCAGTTCCTGAGCGAAGTGGACTGGGGAAATCTGGATCTGCTGCTGCTGGACACGCCGCCCGGCACCTCGGATGAGCATCTATCTGTGGTTTCCTATCTGAAAGATGACAATGCACCCGATGCGGTGCGTGCCATTATTGTGACCACGCCGCAGGAGGTTGCTCTGCTGGACGTACGCAAGGAGATCAACTTCTGCAAGAAGCAGCGCATACCCATTGTGGGTGTGATCGAGAACATGAGCAGCTTTCGGTGTGGTCACTGCGGCCACAGTTCGGAAATCTTTCCAGCCAAAACCGGCGGAGCTGCAGCCATGTGCGCCGAAATGGAGGTGCCTCTGCTGGGCTCTCTACCCCTGGATCCGGCCATAGCCAAGGCATGCGATGCCGGGGAGGATATCACATCGATTAAGAATGCCACCACAGAAGCCCTGGAGGGTATTTGTTCAAAGATTATGGGTAGCTTTAGGTAGATTTAATGGTTTTGTTAATGAATATCTCTGATCGGAGGAGGTCTAAAATGTCGTAAAAAATATTTGTAATACAATTCGAATCTTCTAATCATTCGCTGGTGGCGGCGAGCTGGGTGGGCTCTGTAGCGACATGTCCGTGGTTAATCTGCAGGTGGCATTCGCTGCTTGTATGGCCTGGGAGATGGCTGTACTCTCCATGGGTGGTGCGAATGTTGTATCTCTGCCTGCTCCAACTTTCGACACCTCCAGCTGCTGCTGTTGCTGCTGCTGCGGTATTTCTGGCGATTGATTCTCATCGTTCTCTGGCGCCATGGTGTTGGTCGCTGGGACAATGGTATTATCCGGAGAAATTGTATTTTCTGTAGCCATGGTGTCTGGCATCATTTGGCTGGCAATTGTCGCACTCATTGTGCCGATCATGCGTGGCGGTTGCTCGGGCAGCTGTGGCGGCACATTCAGCACTGTGATGGTGTCCGTGCAGTCATTCACCTTATAGATGCCCACCAGATGATTGGCCAGCTCAAACATGTTCACGCGCAGCGAGACGATAATGAACTGAGCATTTTTCGTACGCTCCTGCAATAAATAAAGAACAAATTTAAGGCTTCTCCCAATGGTTTCCCTTGCTGCTGTGAACCCACCTTTATGTAGTGCGCCACAATGGAGACATTCTTGAAGTCCAGTGCCGCATCGATTTCATCCATAAAGTACAGCGGCGAGGGCTTGTAATAATGCAGGGCAAAGACCAGGGCCAGAGAGGACAATGTCTTCTCACCGCCAGAGAGATTCGAGATATATTTCCAGCTTTTCTTGGGCGGCCGGACGGTGAAGTTGACACCCTCGGTAAAGGGGTCCATTGAGTCGACCAGCTCCAGTTCGGCATCGCCGCCCTGCGTGATCATTTGATACATTTCCTTGAGCTTATGCGTGATGATGCCAAAGCCGTCCATGAACTCCTTGTAGCGACGCTTGCGCACCTCTTCGTACTTGTCGCGCATCTCGTTACGCTTCGAGGTGATGTCTTCGAGCACGCGCACGCGATCCAGATAAACGTTTCGCTTCTCATTGAAGTCCTTGATGCAGTTCAGATTCGGTTTCTTCTGCAGCTGCTCCTCGAGCACCGTTTCCTTGTACTGCATATCGCTCAGTGCCTCCGCATTGAGTTCCTCTTCGGTTAGTTCCTTGAGGGGCATTAGCGGCTCCGTCTCCCCTGGTATTTCGTTGAGCTTGAGCGGCTTCAGTTTGGCCTGATAGCCAGGTATTTCCACATTGACCATGCGGTCAATGATCCCCTTTATGTTCTGCACTTTTGTATCCATTTCGATGCGGTCAATGTTACGCTGATTCTCCTGCTTGCTCAGCTCGTCGATTTGCTTCTTCAAATCCGATGATTGGCTCTTGGCATTGTCTATGGCCTCGGCCGCCTCTTCGGCTGCCTTCTCTAGATCCTCCTTATGCTCCTGGAACCTTTGTCGCTGCTCATTTAAGGCGCGCAACTTCTCCTCGGCTGTCTTGATGTTCTCCCTCAGATTATTGTTGTTCTCGGTGATCTTTTCAATGTTCCGCTCCGCCGTGCTCAGGGCCACATTCATGGAGCGAATATTGGAAGACAGTTTCTCGATTTGAGCGGCAGTCTTCTTGATCTTTGCCTCCACGGGCTTCACATTCTCATTGCGCAGGGCATTGTACTGAGCTTGAATCTCTTCGATTTGGCTGCTCATTGCCTGCTCAGACGACAGCGCCTCCTCCAATTCCTGCTTGGCGGTGTCTATTTCAGCCTCACGCGACTTGACGGCACCCTCGTCTGTGGTCTTTTTCATCATCTTTTGACGCTGCATATCGCACTGCTTCAGATTACTGGCCATCTGTTGCTCCAGCGATGTGATGCTGACCTCCAGACGTTTGTACTCCGCCTCGTTGCGCTGCACCGTCATCTGAAGTGTCTGCACTTCCCGCTCCAGGCGACCCTGCTGCTCTTGGCAAAAGTTGATTCTCGTTTGCAGCTCCTGCGCCTGAACCTGCATGTCCTCCAACGCGGCATTCTGTGATGTCGAGGTGTTGGCGCTTTCAGCCGTCTTCGTTCGCACTTGGGTGCCCATTTTACCTCGAAGGCATGTCTTGCCACCGCCAGACATTGTGCCTGTCATCTCAATCATCTCGCCTCGCAGTGTGACCACGCGGTAGCGTTTCCCGCTATAGCCGATGCGTGCGCCCTGCTCCAGGTCCTCGGCCACAAGTGTGTCCCTCAGCGCAAAGTAGAAGGCAACCCGTACGCGGTCATCTTCGAACTTCACCAGATCGAACAGACGGGGAACGTTCTCTGGCCTGCAATTGCATTTAGATAGAAAGGTTACCTGGAGCTTATGGGATTCCTGTCGAAAACTTACGTGTTAATCATGGAGACATTAAGGTCCATAATTTTATCCAGGGTAATGAAGGTGGCCCTGCCAACATTGTGCTTCTTTAGGGCTGCAATGCACGCCGAGGCTGTGTCGTAGGTATCTGTCACAATGTTGTCCAAGCGACCGCATGCTGTGGATATGGCCACATCATACTTTGCATCGATGCCACCCAAGTTACCCAGACGTCCCAGAATGCCAGGAATATTGCCCTCCATTTTCTGACGCATTAGAAAGTCCAATACTTTGTCATTGGAACGCTGGAACTGCATGTTTCTCGATCGCTCGTTAATCTAACGGAAGAGAAAGGGAAGCGAAAAAGGAGCAGAGAGGTTAAGACGAGATCAGCAAAAGGAACAGCGTCAATCGAATGCAATGCCTACCTCATCCCTAAGTTTTGTACATTGTGTGGACAGATTGCGCTCCTCCTTGGTCAGCTTTTCCACCTCCGCTGACTTGGTGGCGATCTCTGTTTTCATTTCGGGAATACTTTGCTTCAACTCAGCCACTTTGTTCACCTTCTCCTCGAGACTCTGCTGTGACTGTTGGTAGGAGTTCATCAGCGACTCGTATTTTCTGGTCTCAGTTGTCTCCACTTGCTTGAGGATCTTCAGCTCGGATTCGTGCACCTGCAGCGCAGCCTTGGCCGAGTTCACCTGCTCCTTGAGGCCCACCAGCTCGTCGCTCAGCTTGAGGCGCTTCTCGGTGAGGGGTTCCGTTTTGTTCTTCAGTTCATTCATTTGTTTTTCCAGCTCCTCATTAAGCGTCACTTTATCCTTCTCCAGACGCTCCAATTTTATGTTACATTCCTCAATTTCACGCTGATTTCTCTCTGGCAACGTACGCAAATCCTCCAGCTCCTTTTCGTTCTTCTCAATCTGGGCCTTGTCCTTTTTGCGCTGCTTGTTGGTGTTCTCCATGGTGCTCTGGACCTCCGTGCAGGCGCGCTCTGCACTCACAAGCTTCTTTTTGACTTGATCTCTCTGCTTCACCAGGGATTCAAATGCTCTGAAAAATGGTAGATGCATAAATATTGGGGTGAAAAGTGCATTTGCATATTTATTCCTTACTCTATTTCCTTTCTTATGATCTCCTCCTTCTCGGCGCGTTCTTGCTTGAGCGCATTGGTGGCCTCGTCGTGCGCTTTTAGTTTCTCGGCACAGCTCTGGTGCTCTTTGGTGTGCTCCGCCAAAGAGATCTTCTTTAAACTGATGGACTTTTGGTAGACCCAAGATTTGGTTCGCACCAAATCGTTCTCCTTTTTCAAGTACTCGACGGCCTCATTGAATGGCTGCTCCAGATCCTTCATGTCACGCTCGGCCAACTTACAGCGATTGTGCTTCTCTGTGCGATCGTCGGTGAGCTGATCCACGCGCTGGTTGATCTGTTGCAGTGGCCGAATATAGCGTTGGGTGCCCACAATGTCCTCCAGGTACTCCAGCATACCCGTCTCGTTCTCATTCAGACCCTTGGGCTTCATCATGGCTATGGACTCGACCTCGCCCTGCAGAATCAGGAAACGATTGTGCTCCAGGTCCACATGATGAGCCTTCAGCAGCTTGACCACATCCTTGACCTGAGCACGACGTCCGTTGATCTGATAATATGAGGAATTATCCGACATGGCCGTACGTTCGATGACAATTTCAGAGCCAGGCACCGTCTCGCAAGTGCCATCGCCCTTGTCCACAACCTGCTCAAAGTGTACGGCCACCGAGCAGCTGCGAAGATTGGGATACCTCGAGGATTTGTGAATGAGGGTGGAGACACGCTTGCAGCGAATGCGATTGGCCCGACAGCCGAAGACGAACATCATCGAATCGATTACGTTACTCTTCCCGCTGCCATTGGGCCCTATGATGGCCGTAAAACTCTGATGGAAGGGTCCCAGGGTCACCTGTCCGGCGTAGCTCTTGAAGTTGTGGTTCACAATCTGTTTGATGATCAGACGCGGCCCGGTGCTCTCCATGGAGCAGTGGGGCGGTATCGGCGGCGGTATGTATATATCCCCGATGCGTGTGCCGCCTTCTTCATCGTCAAATACCATGGCATCATCCAGCGCGTCCATTGCGGCGGCGTCGTCGGCTTCTTGTTGGGCCCGCAATTGCTGCTGTCCTGTCATCTGGGCCATCCGATATTGACCGCTCTTGCGTCCACCACCAGCTTTCGGAGTGCCGGTGATGGGACTCATCTTGTTGTTTCTATAGCTTCTATTTTAAAGAATAACGCAAAAAATGCTTCAATAATGCGCCAATATAAACCAGTGTGACTGCGGAATTATCTAAAAAATATACCGTCTGACCCTCAAAAATATACACATATATACCTATTATTTTCATAATATACCGTAAATAAACCGAGTAAAATCATTTTCATCAATTTTGATATTCGATTTAACATTACTAGCTAGTTAGGACTTTAAAAATTGAAAATATCATTTTATCAGATAGAAGAATCAATTTTCTACAATCTGGCTTGTTTTAATAACTCTCATGTATGGGTTTTTTTTATAAAACAAGGCTTGAGCAACGAAGAAAAACAAAAATATTCTACACGGTAACTACACGCTGTACATATTCTACAAATCAGTAACATATTTATATAACAGATGAACTAAATGACAACTGAATTGAAAATGGTAAACTGTTTAATGAATGATTTAAGAAATTTACGATGAAACCGGCATTAATTGTATTTGATTATTTATTTCAACTTAAACATATTTATTACTTATGTTAGTGTGATTTGAGTGTGGTGGTTCTTTTTAAATGAAATCACACAAGCATGCGTTCAGAGCTTTTATTTCAAAATAACAATCATACTCTAAGAACTAAAATAGCATCTAGACAGATTCAAATTTTAACGCCATTTTGCATGTTAACCTAACAGTGGACGATTTTTGGTATTTTTCCGCTTGACACACACCCACAACAAATTATACAAACATGCATATTGAGAAGGGACGCGCGCCAGAATTTTTCAAAAGCAGCAGCAGCAACAAATGGGAAGCAAGTCATTGATACGGCGGCATATTTGTTATAGATGTGGCAGGCACAATTTTAAAGATACGATGAAACTAAAAACGCAGTATCGTAGAGAATGACCAGATTGCCGAATCTGAATCAGATCGGATCTTTATTATAGCCAGAATAAAGATATTAATTTTCAGTTGCTTACCTCGACACTCTCTGCGGTTTAGACGCTACTCATTCTCTTTCTCGCTCGCCCTAAATGTAAAATATTTAAAATTTTGCATAAATCGTAAGCTCAAAAATGTATATACTGACTGAGTACGGGTATAAAAGTAGAGTCGCGTCGAAAGAAGCGACTCACACGTTCATTGACTTCAAGGGCAGGCGGGCAGAATTGCCCGTGCCCTAATACGAGCGAGAGGTAGAGAGAGAGCGATGGCAAAGCGAAGGAAAGAAAGAAAGGCGCGAGATGAAGAGGCGAAAGAGAACGGCTGCATAGGTTGCTGCCGTTCGTGAGCATAAATATGTATGTATGTAGATGACAAAGTTAAGCAGTGGCTAGTATAAAAGACGAACAATAATATATATTTACTCTACTGCTGCACCACTTGACTATGATCTACGGATTATTTGGTTGCGTATCCAAACATTGCTCAGTTTTCACATTTTGGCAAGAATATCATTTTTGTTTAGTCCTTATCGCGACATTTTGTAGGTCGGTGCCGCATCGCTTGCTCGTCTTCTTCAATACTTCTTATCAGAGCCCTGCATCTGCTTCACTTCTCCTCTTGTCCGAACAGTCAGGTGCGATTCATATTTTTCTTCCTCATTTCGTTAATCTCCGCTTCCAAGCCTTTGTAGCGCTGTTTGAGAATCACTATTTTTTTGGCATTCAAATGTTTTGCGCGTTAGGATGTTTTTGAAAAAATCCACCAAAAAGTTGACTGTGTATCAATGTTATTTCGAACAATAAGTCATTTTCCTCACAGTCAGAGCTAGAGATGGGCCTCTTTTTTTAGGCTCGGCCCGAACACGAAATGAAATTCTTAGGGCCGAAATGGCCCGGCCCGGTCATATGTTGCAAGGGCCCGGCCCGATATTTCCAACAACTAACAATTGCATAAAAATACACTTATAATATTAGTTTTTATTTCTTAAATCTAAATAAGTTACATATTTTTATAAAGAAATTTTGGTTTATCTAAATTAGCGCTTGTTAGCCTGATGTGGAAAAAACGTGCCCTCTCGTTGCTGAGCTAGCAGGAATGGCTAATATTATTTTAGCCAACATTTTTAGTAAATTAAGGTTTTTGGTTTGCTCCTTGTCCTCTTCTCCAGGCTTCCGTGGGCTGCTCTTCGTTTCCTTTCCACTTTCACTTTTTTCATTGCGACTTCGTTTTCCCTGCGACCGGCGCGTTCTGGAGTCAAATTTGACCGTGAATAAATGTTATTTCGAACAATAAATCATTTTCCTCACAGTCAGATCATTTTTCCATGTTACATTTATTATAAAAAATGTTTTAGCTTTTTGCGTATTGAATTTATTTCAGCAATTTCAAATACTTTTCCATAGACATTAACGCGCTTAAAATAAATGGAACAAATTGGAGCTGTATCTAATGCATTAGCAAAAAGAATTTCATCAGGCTCAAAAATTGTGGTTTCCATTTCACTTTCATTTGATATAGAATAAGTAAAATTTTGCCCCAATTCGGATTTTATTCCTGTTTCAATGTTAAAGCACCACCGATTTTTTAATGAAACCAGCTATTGAGCTGCATTAGTCCATATACGAGTTTAATTGACTTAAACCAATTTTCTAGTGGATCTTGGCGAAACATGTTGGTCATATTTGTCAACTTCCATTGTTTTTTTTTGTTGTTTTCGTTCTTTTCGCTCTTGAAACACACACAAAATATCTTTTTAGTCGTTTTGTTGTTTTGGTCTGCCAGAATAACTGGACTTTCGCCGGTTGCTTTATTGGGTTTTTAGCGAATTGTGGATTTTCGTTTTTGGTATGTGGGTTGTAGATCCACTTTGTCCATCTGCAAGGCGGCACTGGCGACTCCATAGCTGGTGACTCCACTGCTGGCGACTCCATTCCTGGCGAATACTGTAACTGTTCCATCTTTCCTTGTTCCTGGAGTGGCGTCAACAGTGGCTTCTGTGATTGCGCAGACCACTGGCTGATTTCAGTGGAGCACATGGTTATCTGTGCCCACATTCTCTGGAACCTTCGAAACGAACGCAATTGAATTGACTGCTGCTCATGCAAGTTCTTTTTACTCTGTCTATTCCTTATCCAGCTTCCTCTGGAACGCCTGAATCTTCAGTCGATGCTCCTCTAGTACCATTTTTTCCAGTTTTTGATCTCTTCACGATGCTGCCGCATGAGTTCCTGTTAAAGTGAAGCCAAAACAAAAGTATTCATTAAGCCCAATGATCAAATATATCCTTGATCATATATGTATATCATCCCAATTAAATCCATCAGCGAGCTCCCTCTCTCTCTCTCCTTCACTTTTTGCCTTTCCACTTCTTGTTCCAATTGGAAGATTAAAACCCAACCCGCCCAACTTATAAATATGTATGTATGTACATATGCATGAAAATAAGTGTACATACATATGTATGTCTGCTTCCCCATTCACAATACTAGCACACCTCCAAATAAAATACGAATTGAATATAATAATTGCATTATAATAATGATCCGATCGACAATCTGGAAGATATGGTCATTCCTTGCCCGTTTTCTCGGTGAAGCAACACGTCCTTTGTAGGGTAGGGCAAAAGGGGATCTCCATTTTGATAATATATAGCGATCATTGACCGCTTATCACTATATTATATCACATATCACATCATATAGAGTCCATATCACAATATACCTACTGTAGCAATTGTTTATTTTTGACTCGTGCCACGCTCGCTTCGGTACTTACAAAACGAATGAGAAGGATGCCTATATAGGCAAAGAAGGAAAAAAAAAGCGCGTATGCATATGTGTGCATGTATGTGTGTATGTATGAACAAGAAGGAACGTGTGAGTCGCTTCTGGGGACGCGACTCTACTTATACCCGTACTCAGTCAGTATATAAATTTTTGAGCTTATTATTTTTTAGAATTTTAAATAAAAAAAAAAAAATATTACTTATTACATCTTTTTTTACTATAAAACATAAAGCAACATAAAAAGTTGTTTTAAATTATGGTAAAAACATAGCATCATCATCTGATAAAACTGTTTAGTTTTATTATCATTTGTCATTTATTTATAATTTCGCCGTAATTAAACGTTTTTGGAAGTTTCAAGCTTTGAACTTCAACTTTTAATGGATAAGGATAAGGTATGAGGTATGACGTCACAAAATCTAGAGCTTTCAAGAAAAACCCCACCTCACCACATAACACACCATAATGGATTTGATTTCAAATTTTAACCAATGATATTCGGGGTTTTAACGCGATTTTTAGTTTCAAGCAATGAACATTTTTAAGAAAAAACCTTCCAGGTAATAAAATCAAGGCATTTTTGTAACATCTAAATCTAAAATTTGGATAGTGGATCGAAAACAAAATAAGAGATAGGTTAAGACTTCCTATATTTATTCCATACTAATAGAATAATATAAGTCAATTTTAATAAGTATTTTGTAATAAACAATAAGCCCCAATTCATTTAACTTTTTTCGTTAACGAAAACCATACCTTGATTTTATGTACCTTGAAGGTTTGTTTTCAATCAATTTTCATTGGTTGAAACGAATTCAGCGAATCAAAACAAACCGTTCATGGTATATTTAGTCCCTCGGGCCAGGATGAGTTCCTTACGAGGCCCTTAAATAAAGCTTGGCCGTTTTAATACTGGGGCCATAACCCAGTCCAAAGAGAGCACTCAAAACGCTCTCCCTAGTTATTATCGCGTGAACTAATCCGAAATCGCAACGAGTTGGCAGCACCACAATGCAACGTTAAATTCAAATTTAAATTTAAAAATCAAGCAGATCGATTTGTTAGCTAAAGAAAATAAATTGTTGAAAATTAATATTAATTAACGCGAAGATGTTCTTCAATGTTAATATTCATAATATTTGGCAAAAGAATTGGAAATAATATCCAGTTAATATATATTAAAAATATTTTTGTAATGTGATGGAAAAATTACTCTATTGAAGAGAGAGAAAAACAACAAAAGAGCTTTCTCTAAGGCGCTCGGTATCCACTAGCCTCTATAAAGAGAAATGCCCAAATATAAACATATATAGCCAGGCCTGCATCCCACAAGACTTCAGTCACAATTTGGCTTCGCATCGGCTTTGTGCGGTAGCGGAACAACTCGGCTCGGCGCACTTTCAACACGTTTCATTCGCCGGTGGTGGTGGTGCGGTCTGTCTTAGTTTTTCCACTCGCAAGAGATATACCGCAACAAATAGCGCAGAAACAGAAACATATATTGGACACACGCAAACTGGAAATTAAGCAGAAAAATAAAATGCTTAGCCCCGGGGAAAATTTAAATTGCCAAACTGGTTTCACAGTCAAGGTCGTCGCTTCCGCCCAGCGACGTTGTCATCGCACAGCATTGAGGCGGCGGTCGGCGTTATCAATGCAAAAAAACTTCAACCTACTCCCACTAAATGGTCTGTCCAGCATTGTCATTGTTATGCTGATGATTATGTCGTCCATGTCGTCGCTGGATGCTATGCGCATTGGTAATTTCTCCACTTTTGTTTGTCATCAGCGGTATTGGCTCTTGCTTGGGTGCGTGTCTCTCTTTGTATTTTGGCATGCGCATGCGCGCGCGCATTGGGTGTGAAAGTTGTTGATCTGTTACATAACGAACAGAGCCAAGTCTGGCTAGGCCAGGTCCCCCTACCACCAGCCCCCATTTCCCCCCTGCACCCAATGAGTGTGCATTGAACCCAATGACAGTTGCTGAAATTTTCCTGACCCGCTGCCATGGCAAAGTAAAATGATAAATTTACTTTCTAAATGCTGCAACAACCCAGCTGGGGAGCAGCGGCTCTCCTACTCACACACAGAGGCATGCTACAGAGGCTAGATTGGATGCAAATACAGATAGATACAGCAGAGTCGGGCAATCGGTAGACATATCTCGAGATAGCATCTGCATTGCTGCATTTAAGCGACGCGTGTGTGTGTTGGTCGCTTGCCCAATCGGTCTGAGTTACGATCTGGTGCAGCACACGATCTGGCTACGGGCCATTGCTGGCCAATTCATGTTGCAAACGCATTTCAATTTATCTGCCACTATGTGGTGGTACACCATGGCCATAACTTGGCCAATGGGCGTGCCACAGTGTGAGTGGGTGGCAGGGGAGTGGTGAACAAAAAAAATTCGCATCCGCTTTGCTTCATCTACTTCATAAGTGGATGGATAGTTCGAGTGTAATCCGCCCCCTTCGAGCTCCATTTGTGCAACGCCCATGCCTCAATTCCAATGCGTGATCGGTGGCACGGCACACTCAAGCAATGATAATGAGAGTACGAGTACGAGTATTGCTGCAATCCGACAGTCAGTCAATGGCTAACTACTTTTGGGTTGACGTGTGAGGCTGCTCCTAATTGGGTCAACGCATTAATTAGTTTCCTTGTTAATTACACGAAGCTCTCTCACACCAATTTGCAGACAATGATGGAATAATCAGCAGCGCCAGCAGCCACAGCAACAACAGTCGTCACCGGCGCTCGGCCTCAACAGTCAGCTGCATGCATGATGCACGCTTCTATCGCAATCCGAATAGGCCGGTGCACAAGATCTGGACGAACAGCGAGTGTGCCAAGTATTTCCTGTGCCTCGACGGTGAGGTCTTTGAGTTCAAATGCTCGGAGGGACTGCTCTTCGATGTGGTGCGTCAGATATGTGACTTCAAGGCGAACGTCGATAATTGTGATGTGAGTGCAGAGACGCCGGCACCCAAGCCACTGCTGGAGATGGCCGACTGTGCGGATGAGTATCAGTTGGGCTGTGCCGATGGCACTTGCCTGCCGCAGGAGTACTTCTGCGATGGCTCCGTGGATTGTCCGGATGGCTCTGATGAGGGCTGGTGTGATGTCGAGCATGATCCGAATGCGGCTGGGGCATGCGACCCGAGAAAGTGCCAGCTGCCGCATTGTTTCTGCTCAAAGGATGGCACACAGATACCGGGCAACCTTGGGGCGCAGACTGTCCCTCAGATGATACTGCTCACCTTCGATGATGCCATCAATCACGACAACTGGGAGCTCTTCTCCAAGGTTCTATTCACCCAGAATCGTCGCAATCCCAATGGCTGCCCCATCAAGGGCACCTTCTATGTGTCGCATCCGTTTACCAATTATCAATATGTACAGAAGCTCTGGAACGATGGACACGAGATTGCCGTGCATTCAGTAACGTAAGTTCCAAGCTCCAAGCTCCAAGCTTATCCAAAAATTGTCTCTAATCCATTCTTCTATCCTCATGCAGCCATCGAGGTCCGGAGATGTGGTGGTCCAAGAATGCCACAATCGAGGATTGGTTCGATGAGATGGTGGGCCAGGCGAACATAATCAACAAGTTTGCCGCCGTTCGAATGGACGAGATACGGGGCATGCGGGTGCCATTCCTGCGCGTGGGATGGAATCGTCAGTTCCTGATGATGAAGGAGTTTGGATTTGTTTACGATGCCTCTATGGTGGCACCGCACTCCAATCCCCCTCTGTGGCCGTACACACTGGACTACAAGATGCCGCACAGTTGCACGGGTGTCAACCAGAATTGTCCATCGAGAAGTTATCCGGGCATCTGGGAATTGGTGATGAATCAACTGGAAGCCGGTGAATACATGTGCGGCATGGTGGACAGCTGTCCGCCGCATTTAAGTGGCGACGATATCTACAGACTGCTGACGCACAACTTCAAGAGACACTACCTGAGCAACCGGGCGCCCTTTGGCTTGTATTTCCACTCCACCTGGTTCAAAAAGATTGACTATCTGAATGCGTTCTTGGTAAATATGAAAGGGAGTGAAAGCCAAAGTGAGTCGAATTGTATTTCTTACTGTGCTTTATCCTTTTAGAAATTTCTCGATGATCTGCAAAAGCTGCCCGATGTGTACTTTGTGACCAACCAGCAGGCTATTCAGTGGATGCGTCATCCGACGCCCAGCAATCAGATGCATCAGTTCGAGGCCTGGCACTGCCAGCCCAAGGAGCTGGATGACCACGAACAGGTTTGCAACATACCCAATGTGTGCAAGGTACGCAGCAGGGTGCTCCAGGAGGATCGCTACTTCTACACGTGCATGGAGTGTCCGGCCCAGTATCCCTGGATACGAAACGAGTTTGGCCTGGACTGAGGGGTGGGGCTGGCAGCTGAAGCAATTAGATTTAAGCACTTATTTATGTGTGTCGCCGCTAAATATATTTAAATCGATTTCCACAAGAGTTTTGTACTTAGTCTAGGCAATGGACATCCTTCTATTGCGTTATAAATGGATTGGCAATGCTCTCGACGCCGTCTGCAGGGCAGATGAGTACCAACGCTGTGCCACGACAGACCACGAGGCCCAGACTCCGTGTCGAGTCCTCGGTGAGTTTGTAGGGCTCGTCCGAGTCGCGCAGATATTCCACTGTGTTGTCCAGAACCAAATTTAGCAGAGCATCGTAGCCTTTAAGAATCCCAGATGCCTCCCGACCGCCCGCGAATTTCACACGAATCTGTTTCTCCAGATATTTGGAGAGGTCCAGAATCGACTCCTTGCGGCGTTTCTCCTTGCCGTCATTGTTTCCACCCACCTGGAAGGAGACGTACATGTTGGTGAAGTGAAAATATTTTCTAATTGAGGGCCTCTTTCACCTTTTTATCCATTTTATGCTAATTTTTTTTTTATTTAATGCCGGTCTGCTAATTGGTCTGGCAACTCTTTGATTGCTGTGTATCGATATCAGTTATATATATATATCGATACACTGTGTTATATATTAATAGATACATACGTCTCGTCTCTAACGTGTTAGAAAATACTTTTCTACGGTCACATTATATTTACTGGTATTTTTGAGCAACTACCTGGCATATAATGGTATTTTTCAACTTGATCACTTTATTCGTTAGTGAGCAAATCGTGGTTGTTTGACCAGCAACAATGACGTCACATTTAGTCAACATTTACGTTTTATGCTTTGGCCGTTTTTGTTTGAACCCTATTATGGAAACAATGCAATGAACATAGTTCATAAAACTAGCCAATCCGAAACAAAATTCATTGAGGAACTGGATAAAATTATTGGTTTATGGCTGAGAGGGCCAACTAGCTAGTAATATTAAACGGAATATCAAAATCGAGGAATATCATGTCACAAAATATCATGGCAGCCCGCAGCAACTACGAATTGCACGAGTCTGGCAGCGCCACAAAAACGAATTCACATTCGTTTTATGTTGTTTTTGTTTGAACCTTAATATGTAAATAATCCAATAAAAAGGACTGCTGAAAGCTTGCCAATCTTGTAGAAAATGTATGTTTCTATCGGATAAAATGATTTTTTTAGGACTGAGATGGCCAACTAGCTAGTAATATTAAACGGAATACCAAAAAATAGGAATATCAACGTTGAATGTCTTGAAAAAAACAATCGATCCTGTCGTGATAGTCTCAAATCCATCCATAGGGTTGGGAAAACATCGATAGTGGCCACCATCAATGTTTTCCACAATCGATGGTGGAAAAGCTCGATAGTATCGGAAAATTTTAAACCTCATTAAACAAAGCCAAAATGTGAGAAAACAAATAATAATACGTGTATTTTATACGGTCTTATGTATTAGGTAAAATAAAGAGATCCATTTCAAAAGGTTAAATAACTTAAAAATATTTTATATATCAATATTTTTGTTTAAAAACAGCAGTTTGTCCACATTGGATGTTTTTAGTAATGTCCTTTTTGCGGAAACTATATCCGCCGCTTTGCTGAACATTGGATCAGACTCTGTGGAAGTTGCGGGAATAAACGGACAGTGCCTCGCTATTTGTTGAAGGTACAATTCTGCAATAATAAATTGTTTTAAAATGACTAATTTTAATCTTTTTAATTGTTGAATTTAATTGTATTTACCTTCCAAAATTCAAGAGAGTCCTGATTTAGATTGCTCTGCTCCATGTAGGTTTTAAGAGCTTTAATAGAATCTACCCTTTTCGAACCAGCTTTAGCAGCGTGTTTGGCTTTTAAAAAACTGAAAAGTAGATCGTTAATGGACGTTTCACATTCTTCTGGAGCATCTGGTGAAATTGGCAGTTTTTCGGAAGATTGACTTTTCAAAGAAGCAAGCTCATTTTCAATTAAAATGACTGCATTTTGTGCTATATTTTTAGACCGGAATCCACCTTTTTTAAACCGTGGGTCTAAAATCGAAGCTATTTTGGTCACTGATCAGTTTTCATGGTGGGAAAGTCTTGAATTTATTTTTTCCAATAGAAAACTGCATACTTATTTACCTTCTTTAGTTTTTAGTGCCTTTGTTGATTCGAGTAATTCTGTATTTAGCCCGCATATGATTGGAATTATCAGGTATATTGTTACCTCTTTTACAGAACATTTTGTGGTGGCACTATCAAAATATCCCAGTAGCACTAGCAGATCTTCCAAAATAGAAAATTCATCCGCCGTAAGCATTTGAAGCATTCTGCCGGTCGATACTATCGATGGTGAACCGAAACAATCGATGGTTGGCTAATTTTTCAACCATCGATAGTATCGATAGCGCTATCGATTTTTTTCCCCAGTGTGACACTGCACTCCATTTTGTTTTCTCACGCTCACGAAGAATATTTTTTCGCTAGATATTTGTAATTTTAAAAGAATTCGCCGATCGCATCGTTGAATTTAAGTGCTTTAAAACAAATTTCAAACCATGGGTCGCAAGAAGAAGAAGGCCTCCAAACCCTGGTGCTGGTATCCTTTTTTAAAACAAACAACAGTTTTTTTCGCAGCATGTGCCGCTGGCTGGGAGGGCAAAAAAAAATTTGTATGTACACAGGAGAAATTTATATAATGGTGTTGTCAGGGGGGACCGGGACAGAACGCATATTTTGGAATTTTCCCTAACTCATTTTGAAACAGGTACTGCAACCGTGAGTTCGACGATGAAAAGATCCTGGTGCAACATCAAAAGGCCAAGCATTTCAAGTGCCACATATGCCACAAAAAGCTGTACACGGGTCCTGGTCTGTCCATCCATTGCATGCAAGTGCATAAGGAGACGGTCGACAAGGTTCCAAACTCGTTGCCCAATCGCTCAAACATTGAAATTGAAATATTCGGCATGGATGGAATACCAGTTGAGGACCTCCGGGACCACGAGAAGCAGAAGAATGGCGGAAAATCCGATTCCGACGATGACGAGCCGGTGGCAAAGAAGAAAGTTGAATGTGAGTATTGATAAGTTCGAGATAATAGGCAAATGGGCTTACAAATTGGTATATATCCATTTCAGATTCCATGAGCGTACCCCCTCCCATGATGATGCCACCCAATATGATGCCCCCTCATATGCTGGGGCAATATGGCATGGGAATGATGACACATATGCCGCCGTTGCCTCCTTACCCGGTACCCATGATGCCTCACATGATGCCGCCGCGTCCCCTGTTTCCAGCTGCGATGGCCACTACCTCGGCGGCGGCTGCAGCAGCAGCGGCGCATCATCATCACGCTGCGGCCATGGCCCAGCAGAAGCCAACGTTTCCAGCATACAGGTGGGGATCATATACACATTCATGTCCCGAAATAGACTCCCAATGGCGACTGGGACCTACTTCATGGCTAACTTCATACTTATTCTTGTTTATTTTGTTTGATTTTTTGGTAAAGTAATGCTACCATAAGTGCTCCACCCACCACCAATCATGCTGGTGGTGCATCAAGCGCACCACCAAGTGGCCCGCCCGATGCACAACAGCAACAGAGCCGTCCGCCAGTTCCCAATGCCTCATCAGGTGGGGGACCTACGGCCGTTGTTAGCACAAAGATTATGCATCCGCCGGAGGATTCAAGTTTGGAAGAGTTGCGTGCCCGCCAGCCCAAATATCAGGCGCGTATGGCTGCTGCAATGGCCGCAATCTCAAATCCACACAACAGAAAGAGCCCCAGCAATAATGGGTCCACATCATCGATGCCCGTCACACCGCCGCCGCCATCACTGGCTGGAATTTCGCCCACAGGCAGCAGTAGCAACAGCAGCCATGCAGCCGCAAATGCGATTGCTGTCTCCACAGCCATCTCAAAGGCCCAGGAAGTGAGTTCTTATCATAGTTATAGAAACCATAGTCAATATAAATGAGCAGACGACAGACAGAATTGACCCCACGATAAAAATATGACACAGGAACAGTAACAAACGAACGGACTGAACACGGACCTGTACAAAAAAGACAACATACGAATCACTTAAAACAAACTAAATTTAACTTACATTTGAGATCCGACTGCATTTTGCGTTTCGTTCGCATTCTTTGAATGAATTCCATTTATTTCCAAGTTGGACACATTTTTTTATATATTGATTATAAATACGAAAAACCCGATTTTTGTTACGATTACGATTATGATTATTTTTGCAAATTTCGGGTAATGCGAAGGCGATAATTACGTTCAAACGAGACCACAGCGAACGCAAGCAATTACGGAATACAAGAATTACACAAAAAAAAAAAAACAACAACAAGAAAAGATAAATCACTTTTTTTAGCATATAGTATGATATATGTCTGTACAATTTTTTAATTAAACAAACAATTTAATGGCAACAAAACAAATGAAACGGCGGTTTTCAATTTAACCAGATAAGGTACTTTGATTTTAAACAGCAATACAAACAAAAATATACAATGTCCACCCATGTCCTGGTCCCATTTTCGTCCTCCACCATCTACAGATCTCGCATTTCGAATTTGCAAAGATAAAACCTGAACGAATCTCATATCGAATCCCATATTGGGGATTTATAGATTTGATATTCTGTTTAATCGAATAATATTCGTTCATACTGAGGGTGTGGCAGTTGTACATAGATTAACTTCTGGTTCTTCGACGTCCAAGCTCTGTCCAATCTTTATGTTCTAGTTTCAATTTGAGTTGGTTTTCTTAGAAAAATATTCCGCCCATATGGACTGTGAGACAAATTCAAATCAATTCCCTAAATTTACTTACAGACCGCCGCATTTGTGGCCGTGGCACAGGCTCAGGTCCAGGCGCAGGCTCAGGCCCAGGCCCAGGCACAGGCGCAGGCCCAGGCTCAGGCGCATGTACAGGCGGCCCATGCTCAAGCTCAAGCAGTGGTCCAAGCTCAGGTGCAGGCGGCTCACGTTGCCCAGGCTGTGGCTGCCCAACAGCAGGCGGTACAACAGCATCACCAGCAGCAGCAGCAGCAACAACAGGCGGTACAACAGCATGCCCAGCAGCAGCAACAGGATCAAATCAATCGAGCTGTGATGCTTCAACGTTTACAAGCTGTGCGGCAGCCGGGCAATCCGGGCGCTGCTGCAGCAGCTGCGGCCGCCGCGGCTTGTGGCATGGTAAGTCTCTAATCCTCTGCTAGTGCGTATGCAGCGCCAAACCAGACGAAAGAATCAACTTGACTAAACAAAAATCAAATCCCAAGTGCTAAGAATCTCAATCTGTAAAAAAAGAACTGATCTTGTGTCCCAGGGTGGTGCCAAAAAGCCAACGACAGCATTCTTAAGTGGGTTAATCCAATTAATTAGATGTTTTAGTTTTAGAGCTTCATCACTAGCATCATCATTACTGCAGAGATCATGCCAATCACACACTAGCAAATGTTTATTTTAGCTGGGTTCATTCAACCAAAAATTATGTTCTAGGGGGAAAACATCTACTATGCACATGAAATTTAATTATTTCCAGGTTTAGCCCATAGCCTAGACAATAAACAGTGGTCCATTCCTTACACTCACAAACTTATACTAATTTTCTGATGTTGAAATCATTTGCTTGGGACCTTTAAGAGATCCTAGATCATAATTATTGTGGTATACGAGGTGTTCGAAAACGTCTGACATGGCTGAAATTTCTGCTTAATTCCTACTGCTACTGCTTTGACGCTTTTTATTATCCGAAATCCTTCTTAAGCTCGATTTCTCGGACATACCTTCCTGATCTAACATCCTAATCTGAGATCTGAGAGCATAAACGCTTACCAACACTGAAGCTGCAGCATTCCCGTTACTTGTTGGCAAACACCTCGTATATCGAATATAAAAATGGATTTCAACCGTCACTAATATCAAATGTTACACTAAAACAAATTCTAAAAACTTAATTAGCTTGTAAAACAAAACAAAAAACCTTAAAAAAAACTGTGTTAAAGTTATCGTTACTTGCAGTACAGTGCAGAAGTTCAGTGTTGAAAAACAAAGAGTTGCAAGTGTTGCGCAGGGCCCCCCGAACAGTGTTATACAGTATGTATTGTTTTTGTACCAAACAAAAAAAGTTTATCTCCCCCCACAACCCAACCTGATCACTCCACCCAAGCCCCAAGCCCAACCAAAAAAAAAATAAATAAAAATAGAAAATGCGATATTGAAAGAGTGCGAAATGCAAGAAGATAAGTAAAAGCCAAACAACTCCATTATAATCGTACTTAGTCGTACTTATGCAAGTAATTATGTAGTCTAAGCAAGTACTTACTCTCCTCTATCTCTCTGTCTACCTCTACAACACTATCATACTATTTCAACATAAAACTTTTAATATCCCTCCATTCCATACTATACCCCAGTCCCAATCAAAACCAAAATAAGAAAGTTCCATTTCCCCTTAGTACGTACTACTGCCTTGCAATTAAAGACAAAATAATAAGAAAAGAATTATAAATCAACAAAATAATAATATCATCATTAAAGAATGAGAGAAGAGTGAGTTATTTTAAAACTATTTTGCAAGCCATGTAAGTACATTTCAATAATTTTTATTACAAAAAAAAAAAAAATACAAAAAAAACACAATTTTGAATTTGTCGTAATGGTTGCTGCGTTGGTTGGTTTAATTGATTGATTGATGATTGATTGATTGATTGGTTGATTGATTGATTAATTCATATCCACAAACTATACACACATATATTATTTAAGTAAAGCTAAACACCGCATTGATATGTCTCTCTATCTGTTAACGTTAACTCGAGAATACAACCAAAACAAAAACTACAAAAAAAAAAGAAAAACTATACCAGAAAAACCTAATCTCTAAATGTTCTTTGATCTGTAAATTGTACTCTGTATGTCATATGCTCTTTTATGTTTTATCATTCATGTCATGCATCTCTGTACGTCTTCTGTGTACCCGTACACATATCCCTATAACATACATAAATACCATCCGAACTAACACACACATCATAACACACATTCATCTGGTTTTGCGCGCAAATTAAATGCTTACTGATGGTAGAGGTCTGTTTGTTGGTTTCCATTTATTTTCCCTTGCCAACTGATGAGCTTGCAATTCCTCAGATTGACTTCCGCACTCATCCATCCATCCCTACATGCATACATAGCATACATATCTATCATAGACAATTATGAACCTAACTTCCAACTGAAAAGATACTGGAATTTGAACTCGACTCCCTGCCTCTGGTTAGTAAAACAAATGAAAATGTTCTAAATGAGAGCTCTATCTATATGATTTATACTTTGTTGAAAGAATTTTATAATTTGAGCTTTGGTCCGTACACCCAAAAACAAAACCTCCCTCTCTCCACTACGTCGTCGTCAGTTCAGTTTCCGAATTGTAAGTACTTTTTTTCTTTTTAAATTTACAACAAAATTAAGTATTTTATTTGTTTGCCAGGAGAAGAGAAGAGGAGTCTGCTCTATCTCTGATCTATTCTACTCTACTCTATATATATCTCTCTCTCTGCTCTATATCATACATTTGTAATGCGATGCAACAAAACGTTTGAAACCCACAACAAAACCAACCCAAAAACACACAAACCACACACACACACACACACACACACACACACACGCACTCACACACACACACCTATTATCCATCTATTGAATAAGTACGCAAAAACCAAACTTATTAATACTCTTGAAAACAATATACAATCCAAACAAACATAATTAATAACAACTTAGCTAATTTTGTGTACAATGGCTTCAATATAGACCATGTAAAGAGCCAAAAATCAAGAGTACTAATCCCCGATCTTTTCTTTCATGCTCTTCTATATCTTTGTCTCCATAAACGTATGTGTGCCGTTCAGATGCCGTTGCCGGGCCACATGCAGCTGATGCAACCAATGCTGAGACCGGCCATGGCCATTGGACCACATGGAGCCCTGATCGGTGGGAATATGTTAAGAGCTGCTGGGGGCCCGGGTCTGCATGGCATGCCGGCAGGTAAGTAGATGCACTTAACAGTCTTCGAAATATATACTATTATTAATCTCAATTATTTAGGCTTAATGCCAATGCAGGCAATTGGATTGCCCGGATTCAATGGAGCACTGCCTGCGGGCGCCATGCATATGCCAGGCATGGGCGTAATGCTGCAGGGTCATCCGAATATGCTGCAGATGATGCAGCCTCGATTCAGATGATGTCTGCCCGCAGCGCCGGGTCTGTTGCAGGCGCCAGCAACCCAGACGCAACCGCAACTGCAATCGCAACCGCAGCCACATCCTCAGCAACTGCATGCGCAGCATCCGCGGCCATATCCACGGCCAGCGGCAACACTGCATCACCAGCCGCCATTGTTGAGCCTGCCGCTGCCGTTGCTGTTCCACGAATGAGGCAGAGCGCATTGGCCAGCTATCAACTAAACCAACATGACACCAAACATCAGCTAAGCAAAGCAGTCTTCAATCGTCAGCAAGCAAGTTATTTGAAAACTTCAACCAAAGTCAAGTTCTTTTTTCAATGTATAACAGTTTTTGAGACACACACACACACACACCAAACACAAACAGCAACATACACACACACACACAAAGATCATGCCCACAAGCTACCCACTAACCAGCGGTTATGCGTAGTAAATCAGTCGATGTCATATGCATATATATATATATCTATATACATACAATATTTGGTTTATCTAGTGCACTCCTCGCTTTTGTTGTTTTTCAAAGCGATCAAAACTGTTTTATTTTCCACTAATCCGATTTAATCAATGTCTCTTTGAATACATGTACATATATATTTGTGGTCTTTGTATAACACACAATGTATAACACAACCACACACGCACACTCACACTGCTAACACACACAAACACATACGCCCCTTAAACACTATTAAAAAAAAATCCTCCTTCATCTGGAGCTATTTTGCTGTGCTGTAGATCTCTTTCTCTATATGTATCTATATATCTGTATAACCAGAATATTAATCGTTGACATTTTATCTATGTTGTCTATTTTTTTTTTTAATTCTCTTTCTTTTTTTTAGTTTTAGTGAACATATATAATTTAAACACGCCCACCCAAACACACTCAAATTGTTTTATCATGTATTTTCCTAAAAAAAAAACAACCGAAAAGAAAAGCAAAAGCAAAAGAAAATCTTCAGATACAAACACAAAAACCTGAACGCTCAAAGCCCTGGGTATGTTGACAATAGCCATAAGCAGCATTTTTGTGTTGTTCTTCTGTGTTATTTGTGCGTAAATTATAGTTTATCGATCCTTATGTCCATGTAAAATTCTCTGCAAACTGTTATACTACTATTATAAAACAAAAACAATCCTCACAACCTTTGTTCAGGCCCATATGTTGTCTCTAGAGTCTAGACCTTCGTTCGTTCAGTTGTGGCTGACAAAAAGTAAGTCTTAACTTTCTCTACATAGTATATATAATTATATACATATATACATATATTTATATATAAATATTCAACTCTCTGTTTGTATCATTTCTGTTCTTTTGGTCATCAAAATGTATATCTTTGATGTATATTATTTGGTGTGTGTGTGAGAGCGCCAGACAACAGATCAGAGCAGGTATCTACATTCAATTTGTTTTTCTTTCAATTACTATTATGATATAATACTATACTATCCTAAGTAATTTGGTTTTGGTATGGTTGGTACTAAACAATACAAAAAACAACTACAACAACACCCCTACCCCCCTCTTACACTATAGATTATAGCCCGTAGAGTTATTTGTAGGAGGCATCTAGTTATTGAAATCATAATCCACATGTTAGCAAGTACAAAAACTATATTAATCTTGAACCATTTTAATTTGTTGTTATCATATTGTTCTTCCAACAGTTCAAAGTTCTCTAGCTTCCTTGCCTCACAGCTTCAGCTACAAAAAAATAAAATGGTATAGCTACAAATACTCGAGTACGAGTACGAGTACGAGTACTCCTCCCATCATGTGGGCTCTCAGGCTTTTGTTAATCCAATAATCATAGACACGATTTTAGCTAGCCTAAGTAGTTGATTGGCAGTTTGGAAAATCCTAGCTCCATTTAGTTTTGTTGTATTTATGGGAAAACAGCAGCATGATATAGATTGAAATCCTTTACCCACTCCGAAAAGATCATTGAATACCCGTGACCCAGCGTAGCCTAGGCTAGTACAATTTAGCACTTCGATCCTTGAAGAGCACCATAACTCTACCCTAACACACTCATCCCGAAACTAATGCGAACTTGTTTGAGTATCTACACACATAATAAACTTATAACCCAACCATAATCTATCTATCTATATGTATAAATACATGTATTACTGTAACTATATCGTGAAACTTAATCATCAGCAATGACAAGTGAAAAACTGCCCTAGAATATCGAGTGAATCCGAATATCCACCCCCTCCCATCTGCATTCACTCGGGACAGTTTAGCGCAAAATTAATGTTGGACTTTGGGGTCTGGCAAATTTGCCGCACCGTTGAGGGGATATCGCCGGCCATATCCAATTTCGTTTGGCCCGGTTCGATCATCCTGCGGTGTTAAAACGGCGTGCTTCAGACGAAAGTACCTCAATGCAAGACAGACAAACTCCCAGATTTGGTGGCAATTCTCACAACCAAAAACTAAACTCGCATCTTTGTACACAGTCTTTGTTTCTACTCGTATCTGTAGTCTATATATATATCTCTCTCTCTGGTAAACCTATTGAAAAGACTCTGTAAATATTTGATGGCCGCATTTCATTTGTAGAGTTGCTTTTCTCTTATCACTTTTCCTTGTTTTAAGGGTCGGGAATGCAAATCTATTCAGCAGTAAATTAATGTGTGGATTAGATAATGAATGATATTTAACTTAATTTACAGATTGTTATCTTGTTTAAATTTTAAATATAATTTTCGTTAAATATTTTTTTTTTTTATTACATTTTAAAGTTCTGTGATCTCAACTTTTGAATTTGATCTCTGTTTCCACTTTAGCTATCGAAAATACTTTGGTTAGTCGCTTTATTGACTTATATCAATTCACCCAGATCATAAAATAGTGAAAAAACATTGTTTTTATACCCATACTCGAAGAGTACGAAGAGTATTAGATTTGTGGTAAAAGTGGATGTGACAGCGGTGCGTCAAGGAAACGTTTTCGACCCCATAAAGTATATGTATTCTTCATCATCAATAGCCGAGTCTATGTCTGCCTGTCTGTCTGTTCGTCTTGTTTGTTGCCTAGATCTCAGAGACTATAAAAGCTAGAGCAACCAAATTTTGGTTCCAGACTCAAGTGATACAAGTGTATTTCAAAATTTCGCCGCGCCCCAACAAAGGACGAAAATCTGTGGCAGCCAAACTTTTAATCGGATCATTATTATAGCCAGAATGCCCTGTGCAAAGCGCTACCTTTGCTGAGAAGATGTAGAATCTACATTTTATGTGTGTAATGGACATTGTACATAAAGATGTTGATAACTGATGTAGCTAAAAAAAATGTAAAATATTTTAAAATTCCAAATAAATCATAAGCTCACAAATGTATGACTGAGTACGGGTATAAAAGTAGAGTCGCGTCCACAGAAGCGACTCACACGTTCCTTCTCGTTTTTAATGATTTTTTTTTTTTTTGTTTCAACGTTTGTCTTAAAACGTTTCCTTTATACTTTGAATAAAACAGGTAGAGGATATGTTTTTCACTTTCCACGCTATTAGTTTTAATAAGATAGATGATCATTTTAATAATGTTTTGTTAAAATCTTGAATAGAATTTACGTTAAACAATTTTTTTGTAATTAAATTTTTATGTTCCAACATTATGAATTGTACAATCCTGTACAATTGGTTATGGTATAGTGAAATTTGGTAATAATATAAAATTGTTTCCATTTTGGGTTTGCATTCCTCGACTGTAGTCAAGTTTTAGTCAACTGGTGGTGGTCATTTTCAGATTATCGATTATTTGATGTCATTTAATTTCTATATTGCTCTAAATGTAAAACTATCAACATACAATGCACGCGTTCGTTTGAAGAGAGTACAAAATAAGAAGCTACCAGTTTTCGTTCTTAATTTTGATGGGCTTTAGGTGTTTGCGACAAGAAACCCAAATTATGATTAAAATTTAACATAGGCCACCAAACTGTCTGTCTTTGCGCTGGGCGACACGCGAGTAGCTGAACAAATTGCAGTCACTGTATTACTAAAACCCCACACACACCCATATATCAACGGCGTAAATGTCTGCTGGGTTCAGTTGAAAGCGTGTCACATTAATTTTGCTGAGCGAAGAGTCCCCTGCGTCCGTCCTCTCTGTCTCTCTCTCTATACATTTCTCTATCTATATCTATATTTAAATGGTATATGTCTATCTTTGGATTATGTTCTGCATGCCCTGAGTGAAGAGTAATGCCTACCCACCCGATAAATTCCAAAAGGACGCAGGCGATGTGCTGGACTTTGATTGATTTTTATCAAATTGTATCTCCGAAATGAAGGCACATCACAGTTATCGAATTAACTGTTGGACTTTTCGGTCCTTGTCTTGCACCATACACTTTCGTTCTTTACACATGCATATAACTACTGCTATAACTTTTGATATCAGACCGAATCGCATAACATACGCGTCTTGTACAATCCACACAATCCGGAAGGCAGTTTCACCACCAACCACCACCTCGACCACACCATTTCTCAAAGCATCCGAAATGAAAGGATTCAGAAGAGATCTATATCTATGATAATGTTTGTTTCCACATTTTTGTTTAGTGTTGATTATTTAATCATTTTTCAAATCGAAATAATCAATAATGCTTTGATAGTTGCAACTACTTTGTTTGGAAAGTATTACAAGATCGAAAATTGTTTTAAAACCAAATAAATTTTAAACATAATTAAAACAGAATTTGTTTTGCCAAAGATCTTTGAAGCTTTCGACCAAAGTTGATTATTTTTGTTGTACTTATTCATAATCTTTGAGTAAATTTAATAAATTGCAATGTTTATATTTTTCATAAGCTTTAAACAACTTTTGTTGCATTTACTATTAACTAAAGCTTACGAAATATAACCAAAATTGTTTTCCCTTATCCATTTCTGTTCGTTCGGCAATTAATCACACAAATACCTAGCTAATGCCTCTACTATATTTAGTGCAAATGCAAAAAAATCAAAAAAACCAACAGGTTTGCCTACATATGTATGTATGTTGAACCACTTTGAATGTTGTAACGCAAATGGAAAGTAAAGCATAAAGTAAGAAAAACAAAAGATATATTTAGCCATCTTGTACGAAAAATGTTTCTATAAAAAAACCAAAAACAAATCAACAAACAAACAGCAAATTATATAAGCAATTGTTTAAACTCTTTTGAACAAACAAAAAAAATCAAAAACAAAACTGCATAATGATAATATTTCTAGTTTAATGTTTTGATTGTTCTATTCTTTTTAAATTAATTTATTGAAATTTTAATAAATCAAATAAATGAAAACAAATTGAGATTTTTTCTGGGAAATTTTCAAGAATATCTTAAATAAATTTAAGAGATAAACCAATGAAGGAACTGGGAAATTTAATGAAGTCTGTAATATTCGTACCTACATATATGTAAATTTCTTTCATTCAAAAATTGTATTCCCGCATGACAGTATCTTTTTCTTATAGCTGTGATACACCCACTAAACATTGTATACTAGCTGTGGCTCCAGTCTCTCTGCGGCTAGCATTTTGTTTTTTTGTTGTTGTCATAAGTCTCTTGCGTAAATGGTGCCTGGAAATCCCTCAAAAACAGATTGATGACACATGGTCTATCCCCAACCAGTAGTTCGTCAGTGAGCCATCAAGTCAGCGATTCATTCATGGTATAGAATGCACAGAACTTTCTAGAGGCTAACGAATGCTAATTCCCAAAGAAATTAATTAAAAATGTATGTATATTAAAAATATTAATTATAATAAATATCAATATTTAATATGAATTTTTAATTAATTTCTGTGGGTAATTACTGACATACAGAATAAAACAATGGGGGCCCTGCGTATTATCTTTTAGTATTTATGGGTCATACAATAATTAGCAGTAGGCCTGTGTCCATTTGATCCCTACTAGCTGTGGGAGTATTTTCAGGGGCTTGTCATCTGCAGGGCCGTCGAAATGTTCACAGCCCACTGAAGCTGAAACGGTCACCTATTTGTGTGTCTATTTGCAAATTGGAATTGGTGCTATATGTATTATAATAGCCGGATTAATATCGCCATAGCGTGGGAGCTGGCTATCCATGTATCTATTAACATTATTCGGATAGCTCAGGGAGCGTGCCAAAATTTACTTAGCTCCCAAGTGCTAAGCTGCCTTAACCGACTGACTAATTCAAGTTCAGTGGAATTTCAAGAGAGTGAGAGAAACTCACACGCAACCAACCAGTCTCATAAAGTTGTCTTGTCCAAGCCGCTGGTGTTCAGTTGACTTTTAGTTTCGTTTCGAGCTTCGTCGCGGCCGGTTGTAACGCACGGAATTCTGTAGGCTTTTAAAAGGTGTGTTAAGTGCTGGTTCGAACTGCTGACATTTTGTAAAAATTTTGCCAGCAAATCAAACTCTTTGTGGTCATAAAAGCCGAAACTAAACCAGGGCCAAACACAAAAGATTCAAGACACAAACTTTGATCAACTCCTGACTTGTCCACACAACTCAATTCAAAGTGACAAAGTTTGCATAACTTTTTGGAGTTGGATAGTACAAAGACCCCAACTTGAAGCCTCAATTGCCGTCTACTTTGCTCGTAAACCCGAAAATGCTACAAAACAAATAAAAATATCAAAGCAAAGTGTTAAGTAATAGCAAATAAAAATGGGTAGAAACTGGAAACAACACAAGCCAAGCTTAACAAAATCAGAGACTATTAATTTATGCCTGCAAAAGTCAATTAGTAATTATAGCTGCATATGTATATATTTAGACACGCCCACAAACCAAAACTGGAATCGACCTCAAATAGGGCGTTCTTTAAACCCCCAACTGACTCACATTAAAAAATCGGAGAAATTAAATCACGAAAAACAATTTGAAAAATATGTGTAACAAAATGTTCGGACGATGCCAAGATCATAAATAAAATTTATTAGATGGCACAATCAAAGAGAATGGCGGTCGAGACAGAGAGGCTCATTGAAATGCTAATGCCCGAATGACGAGCCAGAGACTCAACTTGAATTCAGATGATGAGGTCGAGTGCCGAGTGCTGAGGATACAATAATGGTTAAGATACACTACACAACAAAAAAAAAAGCAGACAAAAGATTGAATGAGGTGCCAGACAACTTGAGCAATGATGAAGCAGGAGAAAGGTTTGATTGGATGCGTTGATATGTTTTCTTACAATAACAGCTTGGAGAGTTGTTTGTCTAAGAAAAAAAGGGAATACGAATATTGATCCAATAATATCTAAAAACAATGCTATACAAATTCAAAGAAGTTTATGCCATTGCATATCCATGATGTATGATGCTCTTTCCAATGAAATCAAACTCTGATGTATCATCTTTAAGATAAAAAAAAGTATGTTTGAAATGACAGTAAACCCTCATCAATCTTAATCGCAGACATCAGAAGGAGTCTCCGTAAAGTGCACTCAAAAAAGGGTATATAAAAAGTGAAAAACTTACCCAAAACATGTCTTGATTTCTTCGGTTAGATAATAAGCCACGAGACTCGCTTTTAGCCAGAAACGGAAAAAACAAAAACTTTGTTTGTTGTTTGGCAACTTAACCAGAACAGACCCAAGACAACTTTCAAATAGTTGAGAGAGACCAAGCCTGAGACCGCGAGAGACCTCTGAGTCATAGGCACAAGAAGGCCAACCGAGGCGGTGGGGGCTGGGCCTAGTGACAAGATCGAGATACGATACTTATAGTTATTAACTGACTATGATCTGGTTATGGCATGGACAAGGCCGTTGCGGCTTAACGGAAGCTTAACCAGCCATCCATTCGTATAATTTTAGTTGATTTTTGTCTTTGCAGTTAATTGATTGAAGCCATGATGTCTGCCTATATTGGACTCCTCCTGCTATGGTTGGTCGGAGCCCTGGCCAATGATAATCTCCGCGTGGCCTACGAGTGGCGGGAAATGGACTTCAAGTATGACACCTCGGATCAGCGCTGGGCAGCCATCGAGAGGGGCGACTTTAAGCCCTCCAATGTGATACCCTTTGGCCTGGAGGTTTACAAGCACCGACTATTTGTGACCCTGCCTAGATGGCGGGCCGGAGTGCCGGCCTCGTTGGCCTACCTTGATCTTAATGGTAAGCGAATGAGTTGCATTGTTGCAGCTGCAAAATAGCAGCAGCAGCTGTGTCCACATTTGAATATAATTGCAGTTGCTTTTTCTGTGCCAAGAACTGATCTAAGATCTCAACAATTGTTTTGGATTGTCTGACGGAACTGTCTGATCAACTTGACCATCCAAAACAATTCAGTTTCCTTTCGCACTTGCCAGTCAATTACCATAATTTCGCACGCTGCAGCGTGCTGGCGTCATTAACTGCCTGTGAGCGCCACACAACCCACTCGGGGCATAGCTCTTAATAGATTCAAAGCTCGTTTGGGTAATAGTGAGGGCTGTGAGTGTACAATAACCATCGCCTTTTGGTCATAGCAAGTGCAAAGATTGTTTAGAGATGGTCATACAATGTTTGAATACACTGGAGAGAGCTTCATTAATTTGTTGTTTAGAATTTATTTTTTGTTCTATAAACAGAAAATTTTCGTTTTAGAGTGTTTTTAGAACTATGAAAAAATACCTCTAAAAACTAATCTGATCCATAGAAAGAAAGTAAAGATAGTTTGAGAGGTTAGCTAAGGTACGAAAAATCCCAAAAAGGTATCTATCAAGTCGTAATAAAGGAACATTTACCTTAGATACATTCGAGTATATGTAAATTGTATATTAGTGAAAGAAAGTATTCCTTGGAATCATATTGGGCATAATAAAATGTCAATTATATTTCAAGACTTCAACTCAGATAAGATATAATATTTATCTCTACATCTTTGATCTGGGAGCGACAGTACGTAACTGAAAGATTTGCAATTGAAGTTAATTATCATGTATGCCGTATATGATCGTATATGTTAATGACCCACTGTGAACCCCTCAACGAAGTTGCTCTACCCTTTTGCAGCAAGGCGAGTGGGAAGTTGCCGCAACCACAAGATCAACCCCAGCTAATTAACAAGTTGAACAATGAGCCCCCATACAAGCCTCAGCCAGAGTGCAGCCAATGTCAACGGAGTTTGTTTGATTAGTCATCCGAAGCAGTCACCCAATGAATACACCCAAATGTTGTTGATATTTCAATTGGCAGCAGCCAAAAAAAAAGCAATGCAAGTGACTTGGATCACAACAAGAAAACAATTGAGATCAATACCCCACAATAAATGGAATCTAATTTATGAGATTCTATGTCTCTCTTTTTTTATAGATACCTCGACTAAAATGCCTGCCCTGAAGCCCTTCCCCAGCTGGGAGGCCCACAATCTGGCTGAAGCGGAACCAGAGCTGGTTTCCCCATACCGTGTGAGGGCCGATCGCTGTGGCCGCCTCTGGGTATTGGATCTACGTATCTCTGGTGTGCTAGAGAAAACCAAAATGTACGGAGCGCCCCAGCTGTTGGTCTACGATCTGCATAACGATGATCTGCTGCGCCGTCACACGCTACCCGCCGAACAATTCAAACAGGGCTCCTTTCTGGCAAATCTGGCTATAGAGGATGGGGATTGCGAGAACACCTTTGCCTATGCTGCGGATCTGGGTAGTCCCGGTTTGGTTGTCTACTCGTGGAAAGACCAGGAATCCTGGCGCGTGCAGCATCACTACTTCCACCCCGATCCCATGGCCGGAAACTTTAGCGTCAATGGCATCGAGTTTCAGTGGGATGATGGTCTCTACGGCTTGGCCCTGTCCAAGCCTTTGGAAACGGGCTTCTCCACGCTGTACTTCCATCCCCTGTGCTCCACCATGGAGTTCTCTGTGAGCACATCTGTGCTGCGCAACAAGACCCTGGCCACCTCGCCGGATATCTATAGGGATTTCAAGGTTCTCGGCTCGCGTGGTCCCAACACCCAGGCGGGCGCTGAGTTCCTGGATGAGGAGACTGGTGTGCTCTTCTATGCCCTGCCGAACTTGAATGAAGTCGCCTGCTGGCGTACCTCTCAGGACTTCACCCACAATGCCCAGAGCCGCATCTTCAGGAACAACGACAGCATGATCTTTCCCAGCGATGTCAAGGTGGATCAGGAGAAGCGTCTCTGGGTCTTGTCCAACCAGCTGCCAGTGTTTATCTATGACGAGCTGTATGCCGGATCCATCAACTTCCGCATTCACACAGCCAGCGTGAAGGAAGCCATCGAGAACACAGCCTGCGAGAGCAGGACTTCCCCGCTGCCGGACATCATTAACAAGTTGGGGGATATCCTCAACACAAATGTCATTCTTAAGTCAACTTCGGATGCTTCCCCGATGTCTGTCAGTGCTCTGATGGTGGCCACTCTTGGTCTGCTGATGAGCTTCAGGATCCTAACTGGAGGATCGTAATTCTCCCTGTCTCTGTGTCTGTATTATAAATAGTTCTTAGCTTTGCTTGTAATGTTGATTAAATGTAAGAAATTTATTTGATTAGTACGTTGCTTATGCTTAGGTATAAGTACGATTTATGGAACGCCAAGCCAGCTTGACTCCTTCTATCAATACTTAGACTTCTTCTTATAGACTGTGCTCACATCGATGGTCTCATCGCTGCTCTGGGACTGACCATCCTCAGATGTTTCACCCAATTTACTTTTCTCCTTCTGCTGCATGCGCTTGATGAAGCCTCCACAAAAGAAGAGAGTCATCTGTGAAGGAAGTAAATACATCATAAATATACTGGACAGGATAAGGCATTTTGTATATCCCACATGTTCCAGTATTCCAATGAGTCCTAGAACCGAAAGACCCAACAGGAAGCCCAAAGAGCCACCCACATCGGCTATAAACTGCGTTGTATCGTAACTTGGGCGCTCTTCAATCATCTGTAATGGGAAAAAGGCAATCATTAAGTGTTCGATATATCATTCACCATCCATACCGATATCAATTTGGTTGTGTAGTATATATAGATTAGAGAGCGGGGCTCTGGCTGGCTAAACGCTTTACGGCTCTGTATGAATGTTGTATAGATTCGCGACTGGCAGGGCTGAATGCAGTCACAGTCAAAGTCATTCTCGTTTTCATAGACCCTTGACATGGGACACAATATTAAAGGGGTTCTTCAACAATTCTTCAACAAATAGAAGCTTACTCCTTATAGTCCGCTATTAGATTCCGCATGGATAAGGTGTCATTGCAGGGCTCGTTGACAATCTCGTGCATCCAAGGACCCGAACATTTTGACTCATCCGCCAAATCCTGCCAGATGCAATGATCGCCGCACTTGGAAGTAGTTTAAGGTTTAGCTGTGTGCAAAAATATCTTTCGTTTAGGAGTACCTTCAAGTCACTGTAGCCCTCTTCGCTGGAGCAGGGCTCTTCGCGAGTCTGTACATTGGAAAAGTATTGACTCTGCAGCTTGATCTCGATTTCCTCATTGACATTCACGAAAACATATTCCACACGGCCAGAGCCCTTCATGTTGATTTCTTTGGGGGAGTATTCATAAATAGAAATTTAAATTTTAATAAGGAATTCGAAGCCACTTTACCTGTAAAGTTTTCTCGTTTATCGTGAATAAAGACATGCCAGCCGGATCCTCCAATATCCACATCACTGGTCGAGGTTGTGGATCTGGCATGCTCTACCATCAGAGAGTAGCCCACAGCTTTGGAAACCCGCTTGGCGGGTGCCTTCGGGCGCAGGGTATAGCAGCGACCCATATAAAAGTGCAGACTGCTTTCGATTTCCAGATCTACGAGTATGTAAAAGGAATTGCATGTGAGTATATTCCTCCAACATATGGCTGAGACTGTACCCACTGTCCTTATCACCATTTAGTCCGTAGAGGATAAAGGTGTCGCTGATATCGTGGGTGGCATTCTCGAAGAACTCATCCAGAGATATTTCACCAAAAGGATAGTTCATCCAGCAGGTGGCATACTTTGGATGCGGACAGTATCCCCCAGAGAGGTTCTGCAACAGAACAATCCTGCTAAAGTGAAACTCCCAAGGATCCTAGATGACTAACTCACAGTGAGAACTTCCTCTCTGTAGGGTGGCTCCCGACATAGGGTAATCGCTGGCATCTCAATCGTGTCGTTTAGGTTGTAGTAGGAGTGTGTGGAGATGGGAGGATCGTAGAGCTTTGCGAAGCACTCGTAGAGCTGGACAATCACCACGATGCTGCAGGCGAAGAGCACCAGGTAGCGGATGAGCTTGGCTGGATCCCTCAGTAGCCAGGCCCGCGTCTCCGACCAGTAACCCATGTCGTGTGGAAAGTGAAACTCAAGTGAGGTGTCAATGGCACTGTTCGTTGGTTGTTGGTCGTTGGTCGTTGGTCGCTGGTGGTTTCCAATTTCTGTCATGGCTGGGACCTCGCAATATCTTTGCGATGTACAGCCGCACAAATTCTCACAGCTGGTCAAGATAAGCGTAATATTGATTTATGCACCATGGTGTTGTGTAGCCCCTAGATAATGTTTGCGCTCTCTCTCTCTCTGTCTCTCTCCATCCAACCCCATTCTGAAGGGTATAATCTATCAGGATCGATTGTATCTCTTGTTTGCAAAATGTTTTACGAGTAGCACAGGAAATTCAAGCGTAACATTACCAAAACATGCTGTTCACAATTGTTTGTGTCTGGTGTACGGGTACGAGTATCTTGTATTCCGCATAACCGTATCGTATCTGCGGCTATGGCGGGGATATGCGCGATATATCTGCAGTATCTCTGCAGGCTCAAATCAGCGCCATGGTAAGCAATTTACGGTTTTATGTTTGTTTACTCACTGGCGGCTGCATGTGCACAGCATTTTTGGGGCATTCGCTTTGGGTTCGATCCTGGGGATTCATTGATCCTCTTCACTGAGAAATTAAAGTGAACCAAAAGCTAAGATAAATTCCTTTGCTCATCATTTATATCCTTAATGTCTTTAGCTTCTTTGTAAATGCTTTCCTGTGCTTTGATATGAATAATATGGAGTAATCAGAAAATAAATAAAAGGAGATTATGATGGATGTGTGACATTTGCTCTACGATATATTCAAATCAACAAAATAAACCGTAAAATACGTTTCCGAAGGCCTCCGATGCCAGTGCTACTCACAATAATGTTATCAATAACAATAAATAATAATAATAAATAAATAATCATATATACATATATAAAGGTTGTTAGCATTTCTATAACTTTGATTATGGAGCTAATGATTTGAGTTTTGAGATAAAATATTCCCTTAAAATGACTTTTCACATTTTACATCGTTTCTATCATTTATAAATAATTAATATTTGTTGACTGCTTTTGTTTTCAGTATATCACTTAAGTAAAGAGTGTCCAGTAATATCATTAAATCAGCTTAAGCTCAAAAATCCAATCCAATTTCCTACTTCAAAATGAATTTATAGCGAATGATTTCACACCTTTTCCACTTGTTAATTGAGCTCATGTTATCCAACTTATATAAAACCCCATTCACCTAAGCATTTCATACGATTATGTGTACATAGTTTGACCTTATAGACAGCCCCAGCTAAATCTAAGCAAACACCTAGACTATTGCCCAGCTATTGGCAGGCTATATACTCGTACCTATTCGAACACTGTACATAACAGGCCATATAAACATATGTATGTACATAGTATCTAAAGATCTGAAGCTTTTCAGTAGAATAACATATGAACGGCAGGCCAAACAATGCGTAGAGGATCCAGCAGCCAGCAGGAGAAAAAGAAGCCCCCGAAAAGAATAGCCGAAACATTCCTCAGTTGTGACGTTAAATCAGAGCAGAAGAGACCTCGCCACGACCGACCCACTGCTATATATTGTATCTAAGCTCCTATATACTCGTATACCCAGCACATAGAGGGAAAGTCAAAAGAGGAAAAGCAACAAGAACAAAAAAAAGCAAAAAAAAAAAATAAAGAAAAGAACTAATAAACAAAAAGAAACTTTCGACTAAAAATAGATAAATTGAAACATTTCGAGAGATGAAAACACCAATACACTACGTGGACATGGACGTGCTGACGAACACGAGCAAAAAAAATAGTGTTGCTTTACTGCTCAGCCGCTGCACAGATACAGATGCAAAGAGAAGCTCGTGTATCTGTGAGATATGTTGACGGACTCATCGGTCCACGTACCACACGGCGTATGCGTTCGTTATTTCTTTCTCTTGATTCTCGTATAGTTAGTGCCCAGGACGCAGTCACACAGTCTTTTGCCAGATCCATGTGTGCGTCTGTATCTAGTAAATTTTAGATGTTCCTATAGATATGTATAGCCAGCGCAGAAGCGGACAAAATGCAGAGTAGAACGAAGCGAAGAAATTGTTCGCTTGTGTTGAACTTCTTCGCAACTAAATAGCTTTTGTTTTAAATTTAGACCACAGCGGCGTCTATATTAAACGCATATGAAATGTTTTTTAGATTTAGTAGGTATGTTCTCCGAGGTATATAGAGGATCCACCTATACACCTATACATTATTATAGACCCATACATCCATATGTACACAATCTGCCCGCATATCCAGAGCTCAGAACGTATCTACCTGACGCTGCCGCTGCTGCTGCTGCTCTCATCTTTTGGAAATTTTGAATACCTTAACTTGACCACACAACTTCCTTCAGCTAACCATACATACATATCTATATTTGTGCAGTAAAAATTCTGTAGAGCGGATAGTATATCTATTTGCCTGATGAAAATATGCATCCGCCTAAGGATCCACCTCAAAAGGAGTAGCAAATGTTCTGCAATGTAAATGTATTAGCCCGAAAATAAAATATGTTTTTTCAAGAGATCTTCCACTGTAGTGGGTGTATATATGTATGTATGTATGTACATATCTGTAGATTGGATATATAGCACAGTCTTCTTCTGCTCCCGACCCACATATGTATGTAGATGGGTTCCTTTGCTTTCAGTGGAGTATGAAATATGTTTTAAAAATACTTTTTGCTTGTCGCTCATAAATTGTCTAAAAACAAAATCGAAAAATACTTTTACAATCTGTTGCGTACTGACTCATTTCCATGCTGTCTATATGGTCTGTATATGATTAATCAGTCTGCATACACTCATTACCCACAGACCTCTGCAGAGGCGGCGTCGGAAAAGGGGCTTCAATACTCGTACGCGGTAGATGTACCCTCCTTCTGCCTCCTCAAAAAGAAAAACATTTTCATTTCTCGTTTTCACTCATCATTAATAAAAGTCTCGACGCCATATAGACTTCGATTATTGCATTCCGCTGCACTTGAGTTTTATATACATAGTAGGTGTAGTAGTTGTTGATTCTGTGGATGATTTGGCTGCCTGTCGGCTGCTCGGGCACTTCGGGTGCCGTCGATTTAATTGGGTGACAAATGCTTACAGAAATAATTCCTAATGCTCCACACATCAGTGACTAATACTAAATGATTCGATGTGATTGCCTAATTAATATGCAATATATGACAACTGCATATTTATATCTTCAAGTGTATAAATATATATAGAAGCTAGATCCTCTGCAGATTGGATTTACATTATGCGTGTGTGGTTCTCAATTGAGCCGCGGCAATTAATCATATGGAACCCACACGAATCGCACATCGACAAAATCAGCTGAGGGCTGGAAAATATTTTAGCTTGCAAAAATATGTAAACAAATTGTTGTATGGGAAATATAAACATTATTACCTGATTTTTTTTGGTTTGGAAAAATATTGTTTTTTCCTGTGTTCAATGTGTTCTATGCTGGAAATGGTTTTTAAAATGATATCATTGCTTTATAAAAGTCACTACATCTTCAGTTATCTACATATGTGTATATGCATAAAGATGTTTTATATATTATCCGTTGAAACTTTCTCATAAGTCATTTCTAAAATATTTAAAAATGTTATTAGAAATATAGTTGGGCTTCTACTTATCATTTTGGACCAATAGAGCATACAATTTTGTAGCTAAAAGGTTCCGATTTAAGTAAGATGTCCCAGGACTAGGAGAAGACTTTTAATATGTTTTGTATCAACTCCATAATTATATAGAAAAAGTATATTTTTAAACAATTTTGTGGATGCTCTAAACCTGTCTGAGACTAATGATATGTAAGTATGTATGTACCTAGCATGTTCTGAAATAGTTTACGAGTATGTACTATAGGAAAGCTAAATTATTTGATTTATTGCGAAAATTTCTATATTTCATATTTCATTTCATTAGAATGATCCATTAGTTTTCATTTCTGAAAATTCTATTTACATGAAAAATAAATGTAGCTGCTCGTTAATTTTACAGCCAGAAATGTAATATAGTAATTTTAAAAAAGAAACGATCCATCAAAAAAGGTTTCGACTTGACACACTTCGCATATTCAATCACAAAGCCGATTAGGATTTACATTTGACTCTATTAGCAACCACGATTGATACTTCCATGTGCAGTTGACAGATATCCCATCCATTGTTTCTCTTTTGGATGAATTATTTAGCTGAAATACTACCAGAGATATTCAAACAGCCCCACTCTTACATAATCCTGGCGTAATGCAGGAAGTATTCATTCATTTTTCATGACAGGCATTAGAGGCGTAAGCAGAGGAGCGCATGGGCACATGTTCTACCTGGCAACGGTCCTGCCTGCCCCACCGGAGCTCCCCTTTCGAGAATAATTTGCGAAATAAAGGGAGAATTCGGGTATTGGGTGTGGGCAAGCACGTACGGGAGTACGGTTCACTTTGGTGCACCAGAGATGCGATGCAGATGCGGCCGAGTGCCCGACGTTGACCGACGATCGACGAGCGGGGAACGTCAGCCCGACGATGGATATTTTTATATCGACAATTTGGATAGGTTCCAATGCATTTAGACGAAAGTTATCTATAGAATATGTATGTATTTTGGTCACGGTTGCCGTTTTGAAAATATTTTCCCTGTGTACCAATTGCTGTTTTAAAATTTTTCAGGAATACCATTCGACAGAAATTTTGGGCAGGGTTACTGATACTATCTCAAAATTAAAACTGATGGGGCGGGATAGATGCCCGGGTAGTAACCTTTCTGGGTGGCGCATTTACACACAGTATCAAAAATGTGTGGCATGTGCAGCCAAGTCTGATGTTGATTTCTAGAGAACTTGGGAAGTATGTTCGTTAAATGAGCATCTATTGATTTAAAATAATTTATAAAACTCAAATAAAAGCGTACCCATAACTACTAGCCTATTGACTTCATATAAAGTTAGTTAAGTGATTAAATTGATATTTCTCAAATAGCCAGTAGTTAGCCAGTAAATTTATATCTTGAACTCCTCTCAAGCCTATACTGAAGTTTTATTAAAACTTATTTAATGATACAACCTCAGTGAAGCGATTTTCAGAAGTCATACTTACAGATGTTCGCAAAATGAAAGTAAAGTTAATAATGATAATTGCATGTAAGGTTTTAGCTTAACATTTCTATCAAATTTATTTGATTCTTAATCATTGAAAAATAAATTGGATGCGCTCCAAATTAGTCTGGCTCAGAAAGTAAAACAGTGTACCCGTATATATAATTAAATGTGGCATTATCAAATATCAGTTAAAGTCTTCAAATCTTAATATTATGACTAAAATATAAAAGCAATGTCGGCAACAGGTTTTTGAAAATTTGATCCATATTTTTGGCGTCTGTTGGTGACAATATTATGATTAATGATCTTTGCTTGAAAATTTCAACATCAACTCATAGAAATCCACACTCAATCTGTGCCACTAACCTATATGGGGTATATACGCATATGCATGACGGTGAACCTCCAACAGAAACGTGTTCCCTCTGATCTGCTTTTGTGTGTTCATCCCTCAACCCCTCTTTCAAAATGCCTTTCAATGTGTCTTCTACTTGGCATCCACGACGGGTGCTGTTCTGTGGTGGCAGTGTTCGTTATGGTGCAGGTGGGCACGGTACGAGGAATCCTCTCAC